TGCTGAAGACTGTACAACAGTATTCAATACCCTCCTCCTCTCCAGCTCTTCCCGTTCCTGCGTTGTGACTCCTCCCGGCTTTGGCAGCTGTCCGTAGATCGAGACGGCAAGGGTGAACCAAGTGATGCCGACGGTGATAGCGAGAATACCTGTCGAAGGCATATGTTCGGTGCCGAAGGAGAAGAGTATGAGGGAGAGAGCCGCCGCGAGGCATAGGATAGCGCGGATAGACTGATGTTGAATCAGATTATGAACACCGCGCGATGAAGAGACAGAGGACGTACCCGAGGGATACGCGCTTCTCCTGGAGCAAGATCGAAATGAGTAAGATCAAGTAGAGCAATGAACAGCATGGCGAATCCTACACCGCATCCCCAGTACCTGACATCGTCAATAGGAGGTCTTTGGTCTCGAAGAGATAACTCACCAATGGACGCCAGTCTCGACTTCATCGTTTGCGACCATCTTTCCACATGCTGCCGAAGCGAGTACTAGTGATGCGCTGAGAGGCCAGTGGAAGCTAGGGGGCAAGTTCATCAGTACATATCTAAAGCTTGTTGCAAGAAAACACTTACAAGTTGAAACATACGCCGGTCAACCAACTCCTTCGAAACGCATGCTCATACTCGGCCGAAGGCTCGCTCGGAAGCATATACCTGTACGATAGTCAGATCGTTCGGCTCTTGGGGCAAATATAGAAGACATACAAATAGTTCAACGCCCAAGCAACCATCAACCCCAAAGCAGCCTTTCCAAACTCATGCGAGACGCCCATCTCGCCGTTCGCAGCCGTATACACAACGTTCATGACCATCTCGCCCAGCTACTCCCTTGATCAGATTCGAATGGGTGGATGGGACGGGCGGACTTACGACAATGACGATAAAAGCCCCCAGTCTCTCGGTAGCATGCTCAATATTCACCACCGGCACCGCTCCCCCGCCCTTCACATCGGGCATCCTGTGCCATCCCTTAAACCCCCACGCTTGCAAGCCCTTGATCCCTTCTTGTCGCCGCTGGCGATACGCATGAATGCGGCCACGAATGAGGAGGAAGATGAGGTCGATACGCATTATGTCGATAATGATGAGGAGAGTAGCGAGTACGATTTGAGCAGGGCGAGATGTAACCCATATCAGAGGCTATGATCGAAGTCAGATGCGTCCATAAGACATGTGCAAGACTCACTAGTAAGACGAACATAGGCACTAGCACTGCTACCGCCTTCCATATATGCGCTGACCGAAATTTTGGCAGCTTCAGAGCATAGTAGAAAAGAACGACGACTACCGCTGAGGTCAGTGCGGCCTCGCATATCATACGTCCTCGAGTTATACTCACCTCGCGTCAACTTGATGACAAGCCAGAAAGCTACCGCTGCCCGTACTGCCGAATGATCGAGCTCTTCTTCCTCGCCTTCGGGATGGATTTCGATAGCGGAGGCATTTGCGGAGTAGCCGATGAGGGTCATCATACCGATCAACACCCAGACGCGGTGGAGGAGCTGATTTTACTGTCAGCGACGCGACGTGCCAAGACGAGATGGACGTGCATCATCGGTACCGCTTTGGTTTGAAAACTTGCGGGCCTCTTCCCATATACTCCAGCTATCAAATGGAAGTCAGCGCTTGTGATGATGATAGGGCATCGCGATGAACTCACCTAGGCCAGAACGTAAGTACAAACCTCGCGACAGACTTGCCCCCGGGCTCCTCTGTTTACATTATATCAGCACTGCTTCTTCCAAGAGGGAAGAAGATAGAAACCATACCAATAGCAGCGTCGGCTAGTTGATGGACGATAGCGACAAAGAGAAGATCAAAGAAGAGTTCGATTCGAGGTGTTTCGTGATGAGAGGGTTCTCGGTAGAGTTTGCCGTCTTCCATCCACTGCAGAAGGGTCAGCGCATGATTCGATGAATGGCTGATGGTATAGATAGATGACAGTAGCCAGCGAAGTACCATTCAGGACGCAGACAGGATCAATTACTTCAGTCTCGGGAAACTCCCAAAACAATCCATCAGGACGTAACATCTCGACGAGCTTGGTAGACAAGTGTTTTGATAGCCGACCGAAAGTAAGCCTGACTGAGAAACACTCACTTGCCGTACCACAGGCGGGCGTACCAGCTCCCTGACCCTCAGCGGTTTGAACTCTTCTTCGCCATGCTCCTCGGTGTACACAAGGTGATCCTCTCCTCCGAACGCTCCTCTTCTTGATACTTTGATATCCAAAGTCTGCGAATGTGAGGTTGATAAGGCGCCGTTGTCTGCTGTCGGTGTTCCGGTCATTGTCGGTCTTGCGACGGTGGTCGACTTGAAGGTGTCAGGGGCGATAGGTCTCCAGGAAGTGATGTAGGGTTGTTGAGAGGGAACGGGAAGGCGTGAGGGCAGTCCCTAGGTATACACAGATAATTCGGCGCGCCTTGTGAGGGCTCTGCGTGTGACAAAAGTCGAAAAGATGAGAAAAGACATTCTGCGACTTTCCAGTCACACTTCTCATAGATCCCGCTTTACGCAACTCTCCCAGATCAGCTTCCAGGCACACTGATTACATTTGTTATTTCAAAGAATAATCTAATCGCAGTCTAATCAGAGTCTAATCGACAGGCGTAATCGTTGACGTCCGAGACTTTCAGTTGGGTCAAGCAATGCTCTTCAAGCTGCACAGCGACGTCGTCCAAGACAATGGAAAGTTTCTATCTTGTCCACCTCCGAGCTTGTAGTTGCTGTAGCGGCGGCCGAAGAAGAAGATTCCGAGTCGCTCTTGGCCGTAGCACTACTGTCTTCTTTGTCGCTCGATGCAGCACCAGTAACATTATCTTCGCTGCTCGCCGCGTCGCCGGTGGTGGTGCTTGCAGTGGAAGCTTTGCTAGAAGACACAGAGGACGAAGTCAATGTAGGGCTTTCCTCCCCCCCGCTGCTGGAGACATCGCTCGTCACTTTGCTGATGGTGCTGCTTGTTGCGGAGCTCGACTCTGCCGACCCTCCAGCTGTGGCAACTAAGGCACCATTCGAGGGACTCGTCGAAGCTCCACTCGAAGATGCCGATGTAGCTGCTCCAGAGTTTTTGGCAACAGAACCACCAGTGGTGGTGGAAACGTCAGCATTGCCGGAGGTGGTGGACGAAGCCGCTTCCACGGATGTGCTGTCAGGTGGGGCTAGCGTCGATGCGTTATCCCCCGCCAATAGCCACCAAACTGCATCGTTGTTAGCAGATATATTAGTGCTATCTAGCTTTAGGTGAGGAGACTCACCTTGGTTGGTATTGCCTCCCTCGCAGGAATTCGTTACCACCTTGTCATCGTCGTCCATCTCCATACACTCATTGCCGTCTGTGATAGCGATGCGATTGTCGGTGGTGAGATACCAGCTGTGGAAGCGAAACGTCAGTGCACAGCCCGGATCCATACCTAGCTCGTTGTCTCACGTTTGAGCGAAAGTTCTATTACTATATTTCTCAATCTAGTACAGGACACATATGTCGTAAGCTTTGAATGAACCAGGCTACAGCTGAAAGATAGCTTACGGTCAAAGACTCCCCGTTGTCCTTTCCCGTACCAGCATCCATGACCAAAATATCGTCTCCCCCCACGGTACTAGTCAACACTACCTGCCCGCTTCCATAGTCCATATCCCAGTGTCCAACCCCATAATCCGTGCAGTCTACGGTCGATATCGTCCCACCGGCAGTAGCATTCCTGCCTCCATCCGGGGCAAGACATTTACCACTATGCCCGGACTGAATTTTGACGCCGGACAAGCGTTTGTATATTGTCCTCCGTGTCGGCTGAGCGAAATTGGTCGCCGAGAAGAGGAGCAGAACCGATAGAAGAAGATACTTGCTGAGCATTGTCGATGATGAGTTTGTAAATTGTCTTATGTCGTATTATGAAGTGTGTAAGTGTAGCGCTGAACAATGACAGAGACGATCAATTATGATGTAGTATATAGTAGCGAGCCCGCGGGAAATTCAATCAACAAACCCTTCTCGGTAGATGGGCATATCGCCTCCTATATACATATGCGCACATCGTTGTCAATGGGCGTAGTATCCCCTCAGAAATGACCGAAACGCAGTTGTCCCAGTCATCTTTCGCACCCTTCCTTTGTATCGACATCGAGATATCATCCCCTCAAGGCTATCATCCAACGTTTGGACTGGGTCATGAAAGGTACTCGAGTACCAGATATGCGTGACCGAGGGTCTGGACTGCTCTGCACGCTACTGAAACATGAGCACCAGATCCTTTCTACAGCAGTCTCGATGAGCACTTTGAGCTTGAACAGTGTGCTGCAATTATCGAATGCTAGCGATGATAGGGCAAGATATTGCAGCCAAAGCCGTACGGAAAGCTATTCCAGTACATCCCAGGAGCGTCCGTATCTTCCGGCATATGTCGCCTTCCGAGTGCATGTTGAATGACATAAAGAGACTCCACATTCTTCGCTGAGATACGATGTCGTTCAAGACCCCAGATTGGATTAGTCATACCACACTTCTACTGTATTCCTCCCACCACTCCATTGTGTGGTGCTTCGAAAAGGGTATCAAATATCATCCTGCGGTTGACTGCATATACAGCAATTTGTGTACCTTTTGAATACCATCATATGCTTCGATCATGAGTAAACGAAGAGGACGAAGCTTTCTGCATGAAATACCTTCCGTTCAGGTTTGGGGGACGACTCGAGGTCTGTTTATGGAGCTAAGAAGGGACAATAGCCGTGGGGAGCCTGTCATGCATCTTGCCCCGAAGTCGTTCAAAAAGGGTGTACAAAGTGATCGAGGGATGCGCCTCCTTGATCTGGGGTATATAAGAAGGAGAAGTCTGTTAACGCTGGAGTGTTATCAGAATCGGATCAAGGCTATCGTTACCAGAAATCAATGTCAGACCACAATCCCAACACATCCAGCGGTAGGCTTCCCAACGGAGACGGCCACCACCTCCCCGCTAACGCATCAAATGCAGGCAGTCAAGCAGACAGCAGGGCATTTACAGCCCAAGACGTTACGCAAACACATACTGAAAGACAGACTGTTGCTGGCGATGATGTGGAAAGTACCGTTGCAGAAATGGAGTCGATAGGTAATCAAAGGGTAACTTCTCGAGTGCCAGTTGGTGACGGTCGCACTGTATTGTCAATCCAGTCGAATATGACGTACCAACGCTACCGTTAAGGAGAGTCGGGAAAACAGTAGGGGACGAGGTGATAGGCACTTGGTTTTATCGCGCACGATTGGCAATTTGTACCGTGCGCAGATAGCGTGACAGCCAACGATCGAAACGATGATGCATACTCTACTGTGATGATGTGTCTCATATGAGCATACAAGTTTCCCAGCACTGACACATATCGGGTCTTGCTTTTCTCAGACATAGCTCCACCTGTACGTCGTACTCGAGCGTTCCATAGTGGGAATATGGGAAAGTCCCAAACGATGTTCCGCTCCTTTGATATGAGCATCCAAGACTTGAGAAAAGCAGAGACCAAGCAGGAATTTAAGACAAGCTCGTTGACAGCAATCTACTCTACCATCGACAGTCCAACATGCCCGGTTCGAAATACGACTCTCTTCGAACGTATCATAAGGGCGGTATCAATCCGTCGACTAGACAGGCAGAAGATGGTACCATCTGCACCTCGCCTTCCACTGAGCTTCCTATTACCACCACTAACAGAGACAGAGACCCATATGGTCCTTCACACGTCTCAAGGTCCCAGTATATGTCATCACGGCGCAGCAAAACAGAGACGTCGCAGCAAGCGGCCTCCTCCAGGTCCGCCACAGCACCAGAGCTTGAACAATCAACAGGCTTACCCATGTCTTTCCTCGAAACATTACCGAGATCTACTGAGAAAGTCAAGTCCAGTGATGCCTCGGCGACACGTCAGAAGTTGCTTGATAGTGAATACATAATCATCAACGAGGTCAAGGCGGGCAACGGCTACACAACATTTTCGTATGTTGACACGCCAGAATTCATTTAGATATTGGTCACTTGTGGTAACGAGAGTATATGCTGGCTCCATAATCTATCGAGCGATGAAATGCAACGGGGCTTACGTCCATCTCTGGGACTCCAGTGGCGTTGGACTTTTGCAGAATTACGCTTACCACTAATAGCAAACCACCACCCCGGACGGATCCGCTCACACACCTGAACCAATCAGCTCGTGCAGTATGGGAGTTTCCCGGCCACCTTTCAGAAGAAACCCCTGAGACACTATGCTCCGAAATCAAGCGCTGAGAGAGTCTTTAACACCAGCAGAAGAAAATACCGGTCTCCTGAGATACGACCATCATCGCGTCTGTCGTGTTTATCTCATCAACATGCCAGCAGGACAAACATGATCTTTGTCTTCCCAAGCAGTGTCGAGCTTAGTTTACAAGTTATACAGGCCTCCCCATGGCATTTCTTGAGCAGCTACCAGCATACACTGTAAGCGTCAAGTCTGAGGATGATGAAGAGATGCGTCATGGGTGTCTTCGGACAAAAGCTTTCATGATTGTCAGCGAGGACACGTCGTTAGATGGTATCACGACGCTCTAATATATTGTCTAGACATTTGGCACAGCCTCATTTACCAAATGCGAGCTTATTTTTGTACACTACTCGTACTGGGCTTCGGATCTCTAACATCGCTTCTGGGACAAGGAAAGCCAGAACTGTCGTAGATGCTTATGATGGGTGAGGAGGTGGCTGAGTAAGCACCGTATCAGCATTCCTTTCAACAGTCAGCCTCTTAACAGAGTGCTTTCCGCGAATCATGAGCGTGGGGACAAAACAAGTGCACCGATGTTCCTCCATTATACTATATGAGCAGTATATCCTTGTATGGGACATTTCTTATTCGGTGCAGTATTCACAACGATATGTGTATGCCTGTCTGCCTTGTGAACCTGTGGAGAAAGATGCCTTGACTGAGGATGGCTATAACACGTTGCAACGCATTAACACCTTGTTGTTCCTCTCTAAAAAGTACGTTAACATGACAGGTCCCACACAACTCTATCTCAACCTACTACCGAGGTGGTATCGATCTCACCGCCAAGCAAGACGAAGATAGTAACATCTTAACTGTCCCTTCTGAGTCCTCTGCAAACCAAAAAAGCACCACCGGTCCCTCTTATCTCACAAGAGCCGAGTATATTTCTCAGCGCCGGCTCGAAGGCTTCTCGAAAGTCACTTCATCAAGATCTGAACCGGGCATAGTAGCAGGCAGGCTTGATTAACCAGCAACTTCATCTGGTCCCCCCGTCGCCCTGCTCGAGCAATGTTCGAGGTTCACCGCAACGACAATCATGCGAGAAGAAGCCTCCGAGCAACTCAAAGTATTCTCAAGATGGGTTATATCAGAGTGACCCAGGAGACGTCGAGCGAGGGTCTCCCCACGATCTCGTACATTGATTCACCTGTTTTCGATTGATAGACCGAGGAGCGGTTGAGAAAGGGGATAGACATATCATACTGTTGACTTGTCAAGCTATGATACGTACGTGGCTTGATCTGCTTCTTTTGCCCCATGTACACATATCGCTTTCAATATCGCTTACTGTGTTTCTAAAGCTGACCTCACTCCCCGTTGCTTCTGCACGTAACTCAGAGGAGAGAGAACAAAGAAGGATGACGTCGGGAACCGCTCCAGACCATGCGGCGAACCAGACCTTTTTTCACTCGTCTATGTATCCTTTCATGTGGATTCACAAAGTGGAGTGACAACGACAGTCAGCTAAGCTTCTATCTATAAAGAGACAGCCGCAGCACCCGCAGCGTCCTTCCCTATCTGTGTGTTATCTAATCTAGCAGAAGACAGACATGACTGGCACAAAGTACTCTCCAGGCTCGTGGCATACCGGCGGCGTCTCCAGAGCTTCTGCCTCTCGAGATAATCAGTCCCCACAAACAGCCACCACAAGATCAAACAATGCCGATACCGCAATTACTCGCGACACCACATGGACTGTGTCTCCACCCCAAGCGGACCTCACGCGAAAATCGATCATCAGTAGGAATGGAACGATATTGGCCGAATCAGAGCTGGGAGATGGTCGCATAGTAATCACCTTTTCGCAATTGTGGGATTATCAGCCAGATGTAGTCTGCGAATAAGACGAGTAATGGTGTTATGAGATGCAAGAGTATTGTGCAAGCTGGCATAGCGTGACACGCTGCTGATGCGAGCCTGGATGTCAATCGAGACTAATTCTACTGGCTATATGCTAGAATCCTGTCTCTCTTGTGGGGGGGACAACAGCCTACAGTTATTTAAACCAAACTTTTTACATACGTCCACAGCTTTGCCCGCTCGGCACAAAATGTTCTGGTTTCAGTCTATGAGGAATGGTGTATCCACATACGAGAACGTCGTGTAGCCATCCTCCGCTTCGTTGTCTGTAGTCATAATGGTCCACCCGCCCCTTTCAAGCTTCTCGCGTACGGCTTCCGCATCCTCGGTCTTGGCTTTCGCGTATAGACGCGGTGCTTGCTTCAAGGTCGCCATAGGAATCCCCGACGAGAGTGCAGATCGATCAGGTTTGAACGTTGGGTCCTTGTCCAGCTCCTCTTGTTCACGACGTGCCTGTTTCAACCTTCTGTGCTGGGCGATGTATTCCGATCTCGTCATTCGAGAGGCGCCAGCAGTAGTAGTTTGGTCGAGTTGACTAGGCGTCTCGGAGGGAGCAATGGAGACGCTTCCATCGTGATTGTATGTGCTCGAGGCGCTGGTACCGCCTTTATGGTAACTCGAGCGAGACTCATACTTGGAGCCAGCCATATTGGATAATTCAAAGGTAAACTAAACTTGCGCCACCGCACCGATCCGTATATATATATAAGAAAAATGGATAGTCGTGTTATGACTGGGAAATATTGGAAAAGTCACATTGTGTCCGTGGGAAAAGTTCACATTGTGTCCGTGGGAAAAGTTCACATTGTGTCCGTGGGAAAAGTTCACATATTGTGTCCGTGGGAAAAGTTCGTGGTCACATTGTGGCTTGGGAAATGTGTATATAATGCAAATTACGTCATAGTAACATTGTGGCCAGGGCGGGAAACATCTATAGTCACGTTGTTCTACCACTACCATCTCGCTTCCACGAAGTGCGATTTCGCAAGCAAAGGTGTGGAATGCGGTATGCAAGCTCAGCATTCCACAATTGTACGGCTCGATAGCCCATAGCCCCACTGATCAGCATTATTCATCCCCCGGGATGTAGGACAATGCCAACCTGGTTCATACAACGAACAACGAGATGATGCTACATATCAAAATCTTTTGCCCTGCACGATATGCGCAAAAGGTCGTATGCCCACATTCCAGGCTTCAACTCCAGCGGCTCATCAACACACGAGACGGTCGTATACCCAGAATTCGTTCGTCTGATCGTCCGTGGTCATAAATAATCCACCCAATCTCTTCAAGCTCTGTCCTACATACTCGCCTCCACGTCCTCCCTCTTGACTGTCCTTTCCATGCGCGGTGATTTGTTCAACTCTGCAATCGACCACCCCGAGCTGAGCGCGGACCTATCAGGTCGGACCATGGTACCCGGGGCCGACAGCATAGTAGCCGCCGTAAGCTGTGTTCCCTTGAGAGATAACTGGTGGGGTTGTATTCATCTTTGGTACTCGGAACCAGTCATTGTGTGAGTAGTTGGAGCTGTCTTGGGCTACGTGTTGCCACGGGGCTAGTATGCTCAATACCACGCACATGTTTATCTACTGCAAACATCTCTTTTTTGTTCTTCAATTCTCAGAATAGAGCGATATGTATACACCACCAGCATAGGAAAAAAGCGATCTATATCCGATTCCATGACATCAAAAGAACCCACGCCTTGACGCATTCCAACGGCCCCTGTTGTGACATGTCTTTGTTGTTGAAGCTCAAAAACGTAGACATGAAGATGACAGTGCGTGACATATACGTATGTAGTGACTTACGGCGGAGGAGGCCGAGTAAGAAAGATCAGACGCGTCCCTTCCCTGAATGCTTACGATAGAGTACCTCCCAGCCCTCCCACTTCTTTGCCACTTCTACTCCCACTCCAGAGAATACCCCCAGCATGCGACAGCTGCCCCCCAGCCAGCAGGAAGCCAGCAAGAAGAAAGAAGAAAGGCCCGGCCGTGGCCCCCACGCGCTGACAATGCCCTGCGCACTGACCGCTGCACCTCGTGCACGCCCCCACTCATCCCTCCATCGCAACACACTTGCACACTTCCATCCCATCCCCGACATGGGTATTCTTTTTTTTAAATCCTGCTAATACCCCCCCCTTGGCCAAGATGCCAGACCGCGCCCAAGGCTCTCGCGGCTCTCGCCCCCCGACGATGCGCGAAAACTCAAACTCGCTCTACTCGGCCTACTCGCCCAACTGGGACACACCCCGCGCCTCTGTCCTCTTCTACAACCCCCCCCAACCTTCCCAGCCCAACACCCCCCTCTACGACGACGCGCCCCCCGTCCCGCCCCTCCCCCCGCCTCTCCCCACGCCCCCGGCCTTGCCGCCGAAAGATGCGACGGTACGCGACTCGATCCCGCTGAGCGGGTATACGGGCTCGCCAGACCGTACCGACTTTCTCGCGCACTTGCCTGAAGAGATCCGGGGGGGAGGAGTGTACCAGGGTGATCTCGATGCAAAAGTCCTCGCCGAGCTGCTCAGCCCGCGCAAGTCGTCCAGCATCAAGAGCAAAAGCTCTAGAACCAGGACCAAGTCGCGTACCAGGCAGACCGACACTCCCCCTCCTCTCCCTCCCAAACCCGCCCCCCCAACACCTTCCACCTCCGTCTACGCCTCCTCCATAGCCTACTCCGACACATCAGTCACCACCGAAACGCCCGTCCAGCCCCGGACCGCCATCAGAGGCCGGCGCGAGACTGTCAGTCAGGCGCATGCCCACCTGCTCAACCCTTCTCTCGCCAGCCTCGTCCACTTGTCCCAAACGCACGATGCCGCTGGCGGCGATGGCGCGGGGGTAGGAGGGCTGGGGGCGGCGTTGGCCAACTTGCCATGGGCCGAACCTCCTCCCCGCTTGCCCACGCCTTTACAATCACCAACAACACCCATCACACCCTCACCCCTCCTCCCCTCCCCCTCCCCCGGCCTCACACCCTCCTACGCATTCCTCGCCTCGGACCCCCTCCCCTCTTCCTCCCTCCCCCACTCCCATTCCCGAAAACCATCCACCTCCTCCTCTTTCCGTTCTCGCCCAGACTCCCGACTCGGACCCTCCGACGTACCGATGTCGCCGTCTCTCGGGCACGCTTCTGCCTCTGCCTCTTTTGCTGCACACGGCTTCCGCGACGGGTATGGAGAAGGGAACAGGCTCTCGAATGGGAGTGGCTATTCGGGTATGGCAGATACATGGGAAGGCGGAGGTGTCACGCCCTACGTCGATATACCCGCTGAATACCTCACCTCCGACTGGGTTGACCACCCCGACCCCGACGCCGACTCTCATTCCGGCGCTGCGACACTCGGCTCCTCCTCCCACCACCCCCCCTCCAAAACCCGCTTCTCCATCGACCCCTCTTCTTCCGGCCATAGCCATACGCCCAGATCATTCTCCCTCTCCCGTACAAAATCCTCCCGCTCCACCCGCTCCACCCGCTCCACCAAATCCACCAAATCCACCCGATCTTACTACAACACCCGCCGAGCATCGACGAGTACGTTGGGGCATGTGTTTGCGAAGCGGTGGGAAGTGCGGAGGTACGACGATCTCGAGCGGGAGCGGGGATTGAGGAGTGCGCCGTTGGACGGCGGACGTGTCGGGCCTGGGGGAAGGTCAGGAAGGCAAGGAGAAGGGGAAGGGGAGTGGGACGGACATGGAGGCGAAGGAGGCGAAGGAGGCGGCGAAGAGGAATGGATGGACCTAGGAAGTCTTGTAGGGCGCGCTGTCGTATTGGAAAAGATGTTGAGGGGTGGCAAACGTGTATGTCCCCTCTCCATTCCCCCTTCTTCTTCCCTCACGATGAAACGTCCAACTAATACTCTCTCGTAGCTATCAAACCAATCCAAAAAAGGAAGCTACCGTCTCTCCCGCTTCACCTCCTCCTCCACCCCTTCCGCACACCGCCCCTCCATATCACTCTCCTCCCAAGCCCAGGCCCAGTCAACTTGCCATCACCTCGATCTTCCCCCGCCATTACCGAGCAAAAGCGTCTCTCGATCCCCCATGGGGATGAATGGTTCCAACACCCCGCGCTCGTCTTTCACCGCCTCCATCCCCGCCTCCATCCCCGCCTCGGGGACTGGGAGAAGGTCGAAACACTCTTCAACCACGCCTTCTACAACCTCCGCCTCTGCCTTGGCTGCAAAAAGACGGACTCTGCGTGATAGGCTTTCGAGAAGGTTGAAAAGGTCGAAAAGCCGGGAAGACACGTTTACCGAACTGGGATCTTCTGGTGACGAAGGCGCCGGCGGAGAGCAGAAAGACGAAGACGAGGAAGGGGAGGGGGAGGAGGAGGACCCGGGGATGTTTCCTGATCAGTTGGACGCTGGGGATGGGGATCGTCCGCCGAGGCCTGTTAGTAAAGGTGCTTGGAGGATGAGTCGGCGGTTCAGCCGGTTGGCTACCGTTACCGCTGGTGGTGCTACTCCCCGGGAAGCCAGAGAGAAAGAAGCGAAAGACGGACACGTTCAAAACGTTTGCAAAGAGAAGGAAGCAAAAGGCAAAGACAGGATAGGCGGTCCAGGCGTCCTCGTCTTTCCCGAAGAACTCTCCCCCACCCCGACCCCTCCGCCCGCGCCCGCCAAAGACCTTCACCTCATCTCCATCTCCACCTCCAACCTCCCCAACGCTTCCAAAAAAAACAAACAGGGCACGGGAAAACATGGCAAAGCCCTGCGCATCCCTCATTGTTTGACGCCGACGTCGCCTACGCCATTGTTGTCTGATATGGAGAAGGGTTTGGGGGGTGAACAGGATGGCCCTTCCGCCAACAGCAACAGCTCCCGCGGTCTAGTCCAAGGCGACGACCCCGCCTCCGCCCCCGCCTCCGCCGCCGCCGACGCCGCACAAGTCGAGCCCGAAAAGTACCACCAATCCCCCCACCTAGGACACCGTTCCCCCACCTGGCGCCACCGTCAATCCATCCTATCCACCCTCTCCACCGGGCCCGCCTGGACGCCTGTCTTATCCTGGCGCGAGTGGTGGACCGCGCAGGGGGGTAGTAAGGGGAAGAGGAAGAGAAGGTTTTTGATGTTGGGCGCTGTGGGGGCTGTGGTGTTGGTTGGCGTTGTTGGGGGTGTTGCGGGGGGCGTTGCGGGCAGGGGGGATGGGGACTGAGTAGGGAGAGGAGGGAGAAGAGGGAGGAAAGGGGTGTCTTTCGCGTCATCTGTATCATCTTTACCATCTTTCGTCTTTACCGTCTTCTCACTCTCGTACTCTTGCGCGCTCTTTGTATACTTGTATTGCTGGACTATTTCTGCTCTCGAATATATATATATCTACTAGACGTTCAACCTCCTGGACATTCTTGCCGTTGTGCGTTCCAAGTCGTTTTGGTTTTATTCTGTAGATTTTTGCTTGCATTGTTTTCTTTACAATAGGGGAATGAATATTACTCGTTTTCATAACAACTCCTTCTCCTTCTCCCTCCCTTCCTCTACCGCGCCGTCCTCGAGACACAAGTACACCGCCCCGTCCCAATTCAACCATATTCACATCACCCTTCCATATCCTACCGCCGCGACCGTCGCCGATCTAGAAGGCTTTCGAAGAGAGAAGAGGTGATTGTTGGTGTTCTGTCGACAAGGACGAGAGGGAAGGTGTGTGAGGGAAGTGGAAAAAAGCAAAGACGAAGGGCGAGGGGCGAGGGGCGAGGGGCGAGGGGAAAGACGAAGGGAGAGGAATGTGGGAAAGTGGGGATGGGATTATACACGCTGATTATCTAAAAGCTCCATCGCAGAGACAGAATTTCCTCGGATAACCTATTGACCGAGTCGTCAGCTGCTTTTCTTTCGAGACGGTAAGGAAATAAGGAGCAAAGTAGACAAGACGCAGAAGCAGAAGAAGCAAAGAGCGAGAAGGCCTGAAGAGCAGGGGCAAGAGGGTGATGGAGGATCATGAGGGGAGAGGAGAAGGAGAAAGGGATGGGAAAAGTCAAAATGATATGAAGACCATGTACTCGCTTAGCACACCCCCGCCGAGCCCGCCCGAGGAAAAACGTCCAACGAGTTCCGACACCCCACCCCCTTCTGTATGCTCTCTCCTCTCCCCTCCCTCCTCTCACTCATCCCTCTCCGCCCGATTCCCCTCCGCACTCAACACAAACCCATCAAACAAAAACACGGAAAAAGAAAGATACTCACAACCATCCCAGCAGGCTTCCTCTGCCCAGCCCCAAGCTCTTCAAACGCGGAATCCACCACCAAATTCAAAAACATGTCGTAACCCCTCAAAACACCAGAGATTTGACGCCCGCCTTGGAGGTGGAGGAAGAGGCGGCGGTCCATGAATTCTATTTTTTTTATTTTTTTTGTCGCATTTGTGGGCGAGGGGAGGAGTGAGCGGGGGTAGAGATGGTGGAGGATGGGTGAGAGAGGCGATGGGAAGGTAAGATGACGATTGAGGGAGTGAGGGAGGAGGGCAGGGAGGTGATAGACAGTTTTTACAAGTCGAGATTGTCGAAGCCAAGACGGAAGCGGATCGTCACAGAACCAGCAGGACAACGCAGACGGTCGAGTAATGACGTAGTTGTAGTACGAGGGATATGTCGGTTATAGATGAAGGGATTGAGGGAAAGAAAGAGAAGAAGCAACGATCAGCAAAACAATCCCACCGCTTCACTCTCCGATTACGCACTCTTAAGTTCCGGTTGGGAAGCCCTAGACATCTTGATTCACTTGCTTATTCTTCTCGGGAGTAGGTGTGGTAGGAGGGGGTCGGGGATGGCCAGGGGATGGATGCGGAAAAGGAAAATAGAGGGACAAGGACAACACGAAAGAAACGCTCGCGATTGAAAGAGGAGAGTTGCTTTTCAGGTACATGTTTACGTAATCTTGAATGCTGCTTGTCACGCACCACCTACTCAACACCTACTACATTCTGCGCCGTCTTCGTTCTTCCGCTCTCACTCGTGCCTCTATAGACTACATTTCTGTAACGTACAGTACTTATCTGGCGGGATCTACAGTAATAGAAAGTTGTTGGGAGCGTATGGATGGATGGGCTATGCTAGCTAATCGTTACACCGAGTCACCACGCGGGGGGTATGTTCGAAAGTGGCCAGCGCGTCTTAAGTGTAGCTGCTCGCTACCTCAAGATCGGGCATATAGGACGCACCCCATCTATCAGACTGCATGCGTTATGCCACTGCCGAGTAGACTGGAGGCTCATCAAGCCAAACTCATCCGGGCGGTAATGTATGTGCGTGTTGATTGATGCGAAAAGGAGGGAAAGTGCTCTCACTAATGGCGGACGGGGTGGGAAAGGGCTGGTGTACACCTACTTCACAAGAATCTGTGGCATCTTGAGCCTCCGGTCATGGCGGCGGGTGATGTACAGTGTAGATGTCATGCAATGACAGAGAATAGCGATATGAGAGGTGGTGAAGGAGTTGCGCCGACAACGCGCCGACGGCTAGATTGATATTTACTCGACTAGTCAAGCGAGGGGCGAATATCCACCTCGAACCATCATTCTAAGAGGACCGTACGTACAATCAAATGCAATGATCATACCCTCCATCATCGTCTAAATCGCCTGTCCCGCATCTGCATTCTTCTAGGTGCTCGGCGTCTTGTGATGACCACGTTGCTGTTAGATTATTCTACAATCACTGTGACGATAAACCCTGCTCCGGGGCTGGGGAGACAGGCTGAACGATCGACAAACGTCACGGCGGGGTGGGCTGTCGCAGATGGGGCGAGATCGGCCAGAGTTTGACGATGGGGGTCTGCAGTCTGTTTCTGTCTATACATAGTCCGAGTGCGACAAAGTGGGAGGTGTGTTAGTGGGCTGAGAGATATGTGGGAAAGGTTCTAAAATGTGAGCGTCGTGCCATGCAATTGGCGAGTCGATATGACAGCGGGTCGAAACAACGATACATAAAGTCCATAACAATACTCATCAATGGCCATCGCCGTATTATGATACAAGAATAAACACAAGGAACTGCCCCCTTCATCAGCTTCCCCTCCCATACTGTTAAAGCAGTACTCACAAAGATGATCAACACCCCAAAAATCTTCAACATCAACCACCGATTACTCGTCACACTCGCATAATACTTCAACAGCTCCCTCTGCGCCCCGCTCACACTCGCCGCTATATCTGTCGTATCCGCATCGATGCGCTCCACCGTATCGCGCTGCTCGGCGACCATGTTGGCGAGCTGGGAAAAGATGCCGCCGAGCTCGGCGATGGTGGATTCGATGGATTCGATGGCGGTGGAGCGGGATTGGATGTATGAGTCCTACACCTCATATTAGCGTGGGCTGGGGGGGGAAGGGAGGGGAGGACGTACTTGTTGTTCGACGAGCTGCATTTGTTGATAATCACCCCGCATGACACCGCTCTCGCCTCTATCGCCGTCAATGTCCAGAGCGAGGAAATCGGCGCCTTCTTGTGCCGTGTTGGAATGGCCTCCATTCGGTGGGTTGGGAGTCGCAGCGCGGGATTTGCCTTTGCCGGATTGCGAAAACAAAAGCGAGTCTACACCTCATCAGCACAACCCCCACGAAAAGCAGAAAGAGACTCACTCTCAGCAGGCGCCGGTACACTACTGCTCGCAGCCGTGTGCATAAACTGCTCCGTCCGATCCTTACTCGCCTTCATATTCTGCGTCCTCAACTCCAACACATCCTTAAACCCCATGCCCATAGTCGCCAACCTGCTCTGCAACAACATTACCACATTGCTATTATGCTCTTCCACCTGCTTGCCTGCGTTCGCGTTCTTGGAGGATGCTGGTTTTTGGGATCGGGTGTAGGATTGGAGAGAGGCGATTTGGGTGTTGAGGGAGGCAATGTCTTGGCGGATGATGTAGGTGAGTTCGGATATCTCGATGGGGCGGTCGTCGAAGAGGGTCTTGCGTTTGGCGACTGCGGTCAAGGTCAGCGTCGGATCGCAGCGGATCGAGTCTTCATCTCCTCCCCTCCAAGCTCAACAGCCCCATCTCAGCCACCCAGCTCCTCCTCCCCCCCCCCTCCCACAAAGAGACCAGGAACTCACGCTGCGCAAGCTTCTGCAACTTCATAGTCGTCGTATTAATATCTTTCGCTATCGCCCCCGCCATCCTCCCAAATTCACTCTTCGTTCCCCCTGCCCCTCCTCCTCCTCCTGCCCCTCCTGCACCCTTTGCCCCTGCCCCAGTTCCTGCGCCAGATGCGCCATTACCGAGCAACGGCTGCCTCGCCTCCCTATCGGCCTGTTTCCCCTTACTGTTGTTGGCCCGGCTGAGGGGGACGGCAGAGCGGGATTTGATAGAGTTGAGGGTACTGTGGAATTCGGAGGTGCGGTCTTTGGGTGCCATCTTGAGTTCATAGAGAAAGCGGACGGGGATAGAGGGATGATGGAGGTGGAATGGGCGAGGAAATTGATCCCGTCGGCGGGGAGGGCCGCCCGAAGGAAAACACAATTCCAGCACAGGAGAATCATCCTTCTTACCCGTCATCTCGCCTCGTACGAAGAACCAGCAAACGCACAAATCACCTATCGATACATAGACACCACCCCCTCTCAATCTCAAGAAACACCATCCGCGACCCCCACTCGAACGACGAATAATTGATGATGGATATAAAACTGATCTTCTCGTATTCAGAAACAAGTTCCCCTTCCTCTTTTCATCGCACACTTTTCAAACAGACTCAAAAGTACCTGCTCTGCGGCTGTCCATACCCATAAAACCCCCTCTGCCCTCCCCCCTGCAGAAACGTATTGTTGCCCCCCGAATCGATCGGCTGATTACCCCACGCGACGCCCGATTGGGTGCCGTAGTGGTATGGATGCATGCCCTGTTTACTTTTTGTCAGCTCTTTGTCTTTTGTCTTTTCTTTTGGATTTTGTCGGGATGGGAAGGGGCGGGGCGTGGGGAAGAGTGGGAACGAGGGTGGAAGAGGGGACGGGCATGGGGAGAAAGAGGGGAGAAAAGGGACGTACAGGAGCAGCTTGACCTTCACCAAACGAACCATGAGGCGGCATACCTTGTGCCAGACCCATCCCCCCCATCCCGCCGCCCATACCTCCCATTCCCCCTCCCCCTCCCATTCCCATTCCGCCCATCCCCATCCCACCCATGCCAGAGCCGTAAGCTCCCATGCCGCCCATACCGCCGTAACCTCCGCCCATCCCACCGCCCATACCCGGACCCATTCCGCCCATTCCGCCCATACCGCCCATACCAGCGCCCGGGCCATAAGCGCCCATACCGCCCATACCGCCCATCCCACCGGGCATACCAGACATTCCCATCCCGCCCATAGCTCCCCCCATCCCAGGCTGCATTCCCATGCCCATCCCACCCATCCCAGCGCCCATCCCAGCGCCCATCTGCCCAGCACCCATCTGCTGACCAAGTCCACCATTCATACCCATAACCCCCGGCGGTTGACTCCCGCCCGGACCGTAGGGTGCTTGTTCTAACCGCCTTGATCAGCTCTTGTCTTTCATGTCTTTTGGGAGGGAAGATGAGGAGCGGAGGAGCGGAAACGAGAGGGAGAGGGAGAGAAAAGAAAAGAAAAGAAAAGAAAAGAGACGTACGACCATACATACTCCTCCTCCTATGATTTCGTTCTTCAACATCCGACGCCCCGCTGTCGTCTCTGTAGCCGTAGTAGTGCGACCCCCCGCCCGCGTTGGACCGGGTATAGTTGTTGTAGTTTCGGTCTATGTCGTAGTGCTATTCCCCTCATCAGCTCCATACTTTTTTACATTTCAAAGGGGGACGAGACGGGCGATAGGGGAGAAAATAGAACAGGAAAAAGAGGAGGGTTAAGAAGAAGGAGAAGGAAGAAGGAGAAAGAGGGAAGAATTAGAGGACGTACCCGATCAAACAGATGTTTAGCAGTCGCAGCCGCATACTGCGAAGCATCCTCTATACTCGCCCTCGTACTCCTCGGCATGACTCTGTCCCATAGACTGAACACTATTCAGATCGTCAGCTCTTCTCTCCACCCCAAAACACGAAGAAAGGGAAGACGGAGGCAGGAGGATAAAGCGGGAGAAAGAGATGCAGAGGAAGGAGGCCGTACGTTCAGCAACAGCAAGCCCCACAAGCCTCTCCCTATTCTCCTGCGACGGATTCGCATGATAAGCCGAATAATGGTCCCTGTCCCAGATAAGGTATGCTTGGTAGGCGGCGGCGCCGCCGAGGGTCTTGTTGCCGGCGTCGGCGCCTTCGTTTGCGTAGTACACCCGGCTACATGCTTCGTCAGCCTGGACTCTTATAAAGGGGCAAAGGAAGAAGAAGGAGAAGGGGGAGGGTTGGACGTACCGGTGAGCGTCTCTCGCAGATTCTTCGCTGAGATGACGGCTCGTAAAAAAGTTGGTCAACGTCGAGATCTTTTGGATCGTCGTCGACGGTAGGATATTCCGTTCCGCCGGTGGGTCGTCCGACGAGTCGAGGGCGAGCGCGAAGCGAGTGCGGCGGGGTGTATCAGTGCGTCGAAGAGGAGATGGTGGAGTATGCGGCCGTTCAAAAGAATGAGGGTGGGGGTGAAGAAGGGGATCTTGTAAGCTTGCCTGATTCTTGAGTGCTTGATGTTCACGACAAAGACCTACGATATTGTCGAAAAAGCCTCTATCGAGGTGCGCGCCGTTATACTGCGCGTTGGCGAGGTCCCAGGGGGACCAGTCGGCTTTGGCGGTGTACCCAAGAGAGGGCGGGTTGTAGTCGTAGCCCTACCATTCGAGTCAGTTGGGCCACCATCGCAGGAGGAAGAGGAGAGGCGAGGGGGACTGACGAGGTTGTGTAAAGCTTGGCAGTAGTTGCCCATCCCACCCTGAGCCATACCGCCCATACCCTGCACACCCGGCATCATCCCCCCGCCCGTCATCATCGGGTTCAGCCCCCCGCCCATCCCTCCCCCTCCTCCTCCGCCATAACCGCCCATGCCACCGGGGTACTGCCCCGGCATACCAGCACCCATACCCCCCGGCATGGCCTGTTGGTTTTGATTGTAATAGTTCATCCTCTCCACCGCTGCTTGTGAGAGGGCGCGGAGAAAGTAGAAGAGAGGTTGGCGGTGCTGCAGAGGCACGAAGGGGAAGGCGGAGAGGGGCGGAGTGTATGTGGACGTGGCCGAGTAGGATGTTCGTGCGAGGCGGGGCCGAGAAATGATGGAAGATGGAGATGGAAAGAGAACAATCAAAAAAGCGGCGAGGAGTGTTGTTGTTTCGGATGAAAGGTGTTGTCCTTTCACCGCATCGTCATGCAAATACATCCTGCCACATCCACCGCCACTCTCCGCTGTCTCCCATGCCCGATGTATTCGGGATACACTGCATGCATCACGCATCACCCCCTCGTCACCTTTGCCACCAGCCCCTGAGTGTGTCTGTGTGTTCCATGACGCCCAAGCTCCGGGCCTGCTCCATCGCTTCGAGACGGAATGGGACTTTGCTCATTGTGGAAAGTATCGGTGCGCTATGCGTAGCCCATTGTCGTATGCCCTGGCTGCATCCCTTCTGGTGCTACGAGGGGCGTCCTTATGCATATGCAGCAGACAGACGGCTTCGATGGACGGTGTATGGAACCACACACCGACGGGATCAAACTTTTCCCTCAACGTGACGTCGTGGGCGTGGCACAGGAGTCAACTGCAAGTCTGCAATGCCGTCTCCTCATCGATCGTTTTATCAGTAGGTAGGGGTACTCTCAGCAAACAGGCTTCTCAGCCAGATGATTCAAAGTTGTGCATGGATGTCCAGGGATGACAGCTGTAGTTTGCCTATTTGTTGCTAGCCATGATGATTGATGTGTAGCATTACAGACTTTTACATCGCTGATCAACCCTCTGATTTTTTCATCTGAAAAGGAAACACAATCAGAGAAACCCCGACACATACGAGTACATCTCGCCAAAAACAGCTCACAGTCATTTCTTCCCTCCTTCACTTCCCCAGGCACTACCCCACCACTCCTCTGATAATCAAAATCACCTCCACCCCCCACCCTTCACCATACCCAGACTATGCACAGATAACCAAGGCTGTAAAATCCCTCTCACCAACCCTCGAACTCGCCAAAGCAGCTTCTCTCGTTTTCTCGCCAAATCTGCGAACAGTCACCGACTCACCGTAGTATTAGGCGCTGTGGGTTTTTACGAAAAAAGCGGAGGCGGCGTCGACGTATGGGGTTTGGATGTTCAAAGTTGGTCCATCCATAGTTGATGTAGTATGGTGCAGTGGAACGGATGTTTAGCTTCATCTGAGTCTAGGGCTATTTTGAGGACGGCTTGTCTCCTCCTTCTCTGCGAGCTGCTCTTGAAACATGAAACTAGTATATATGCAAGATGGACAGCAAAAGACGTATACCTTGCTCTACGAGCGGCCAACGGATTTAACAATCACCTGAAACCTATCCAAAATAGCATACTACTTGGCTTTTGTTCGCTTCAAAGACGGCAGGCGGGGAAAGGGCGCACGAGACTGGACTAATCTTTGATCCCTCTCTGGGGAGAGGGCGCTCTCAGTCGTGGAAGAATAGATGATACATCAAGTGGGCACAATATCAAGCACTTCCAATTTCATTTCGAAAGTACCATCATCTCGAAATACACGAGGAGAGTAGTACGAACGGGCGGGGCGACTATTGCTGCCGCCGCACAGCCTGAAAACTGATATCCGTCCACCCCTTCCCGTTCCTCTGGCTAGGCGAAACGACAGACAGCAGCTGACACCCCACCCCATCCAGATTGGTTATAGTATCTTCCGCATCGAGATCGGGCACTGTCACAGTGCTGGGCTCGGTCCTCCTGGGGGAAGTGATGGAAACGCTGTGGGCGTACTGGCCTCGGGCTGACGACGAGCGAGCCGCCGGCACAATGGCTGCAACAGTGACCTCCGTCCAGATCAGCAAGGATTAGAATACCAAGCTCTGCTAGTCTTGACCAAGAACACTATCTACAAGCTCTCATCACATCAGCCCCTCACACACAAGTCCCACAGGGAAGCCCCCGCGCGTAGAGGCTCTGCTGGGGCTTCCGTTGATCCTCTCGTTGATCTACTCCTCCCAAGTTTGACACCTCGTCTCTACTACAACAGAAGTGATGATCCGCTCTTGCACTGCTTCGTAGAGGATTCGGGCATTCGGTTCCGGAAGATGCAAGGTGAAATCCACTAGTGTGTGATTACCGTGTATGATGCTACCCTTCGAGCACAGACTCCTCCTTTCAAATGCTTCATCGGGGGCTTTATAATACCCACCCTGAGATTGAACAGCATGGGGAACGTTCCCTCCTCTACCCTTCTGAGTAATTCCCAACTAGATCCTATCTACACCAACACGATACGAGTACATAAGTGAAAGAATGAGGAGGAGCAGTCAAGGATGAAACTTTAACACCCCACATCGTGCAACGTCAAACCCCAATGTCCGGTAGCAACTACACTCCATCAGCCTCTTCTGCCCAAGACGAGACTCGAGAATCAGAGATGACTACAGTCAGCAATACGTTCTCGATTGACTTGTCCTTGGGAGAATCATTACAAGACGCAGTCATTCGGATTACCGATGCCGACCCCAATTTTGTTGAGGCTGACCCGCCTGTCAGAATCACTAGGAAGGAGGGGTCGAATTGGGCTTATGTCACATATCAAGCAACACGTCGAAGCGTATCATAAAGTAACAAACCTTCTCCTCATGCGCATATTATGAAGAATTGAGTCGCTCAGTACTCGTACATGATGCACCACATCAAACTTTCAGTCATCCGTTGCATGATTTGGGGTATAGAATAGCCGTTCGTGTATGAACGAGACTCGATTGAGGAACGGTAATCGTATATGTTGGGTCATGTTGGTCGACATATACACCATGGATATGAGCAGGAGGGCTGACGTGTGAATTGAAAGCTGAGATGCCGAGTCCTCTGACGATGATCTGTGCAGACTGTCCCAGAGCTATTCACAAGCCACAACGATCAGCTGAGAAAGAAAGCGAGACCTCAACAAAGAGCGAGAAAAAGGCTTGTGTCACGACATCGGGAACGACGGAACGGCAAGGAGCTATCGTGAGAATTATACATCGCGGCATCAAAGGATCACCTGCGTTTCCCATGCTTATATCGGGTACGACACAGATTCCCGGTACCGAATCGTCTGAAAGGCTGAGAAATCGCCTCCGCGGAGGATGCCTGTGTAGCCATGCAATAAGGGAGAACGAATGTGACGAGATTCTCATTTGACGCTGTTGCACATGCTCCCTTTCAGACATCGTGATTTGTATCTGCAAAGAAGAAACTGCCCAAAGGATTCTGTCAATGGGAGCTACAAGGATTGTGACGACTCGCTGTATTCTGGGAAATCGTCGATCTACTTCTCATCTATTTCCGGTACATATAATAGCTTACTGTCATCGTCCTGAGCTATTCTTGTCCACACCCAAACATCCATTAACCAAAGAATACCAAGAGTAACACAATGTCTGAAAGCAACACTCAATTCACCTCTTCCGTCGTCTCCCAGGGCTCCTCCACAGTACAGAAGTCTGTGTCGGTAAACCTGAACGAGGAATCGATTCCGGACGCGATCAAGCGAATTGCGGACGAAGACCGCGACTTCATCTTAGGAGAAGACGTCCCAGTGACTTCTTCCACCCAGCCTGGTTCGAGGTGGGCGACTATTACGTATCGCGCAAGAGCCTGAGATAGAGTAACTGTATGGTAGTGTAATCCTTCAGCGTGACTGGGAAGAATGCGTGAAGGGGCCCATTGACTTCGAGTCTAGCCGGTGATGGTCTGCTTGATGATGCATCAGATAACAGCACATATCATCAGCCACCCTGAGGATGATTACACTTGTCTGGCCCTACCACTGACCGGCCATCGAGGATGATTTAAGAGGCGAGATTCAACGCACCCTGCGTGAACTCCCGCCGGCTCCAGAAAGACCTCTGTCTAGAAATGCTGTCTCTCGATATGTACAGGCTATTTATGACCACTAAATATGTTATTTCGTGTTCAAGAATACAACCTGTGATCAAGGTGTCGTCAACAATGGAAGGCTATAAAGGCTGCAGCAGATCGTTCCATTAAGATGTCACGAGGGATTTCTATATAGGTCGGGCCCCATACGTTGTCCATTCAAGCATGGTCAATGTGTCCCTTTAGGTGTTTTGTATTGTTGTACATTGACATGACATAACCATAACACCGGCATCGTCCCCTCTCCATGCAATCAGTCATCAGGGGTACAGCAAAGTCGCCCAGCCTCCTAATGCGTGGTCCACTCACTGAACACTTCACACTTCAAAACCTGGTCATTCCGATTACTCATAGCCGCCTCATCTTTCTGGGGGAAATTGTTACCCTCTTGAGCGAAGAAAAAAAGGTGTTATCATAGGCCCTCCATTCACTACTGCTGCTTGCCTTTGCCGAGTACCAATTGCATGCTATTTACACCTTGCCATTAGTTGTGAATCCAACTCGCCATACCTATGAACGGCATCAACCATCATCACATGTCATCTACACTTCACCTCACCACGGACACAACCAAAGGCTCAAAATGCAACAACCATCCGTCAATCATATGAACCCCATACCGCCTTCCACCTCCCTCTTGAGCGGCTCCAGCCTTCAAGAACATCACCCTTCTTCTCCGCCCAACATTCCTCCTTCCCAACTCCCGCCTCAACAGAATACGCCCCTCCGTCCGACGATCCGCCTCCAGCCTACTATTCCGCTGAAAACATATTCAATGGTCTTCGCAACAACCACCAGGTACGGGAAATTACGCCACCACGCAGAGAAGATACACAAGGAGATGGAGTCGAAAGCGAATATCAATGCCCGCCCCCGGCCTTGACGTTCACAAACGGAAAGATCCATTTCCAGCTCGTGCTAGCCGATCATAATGGGATGAATAGTGACTGAAAGGATATATATAGGTACATGGTATAACATTATGTACATTGTGATTGTGTCGTATGATGTCATATCGTGTCTACCATCTCGAGAGCGAGAGGATGAACAAAAGAATTGTTTTATTGGCTGTTTGACATCAGCCCTCTACTATCCTTGTGTCCCGAATTAATATGATATGACATGCCTGCATCAATGTAGACATCAGTAGCCCCAAGCAGGGCAATCCATGAGCTCCGACCCTATGGCTTGTTATGATGGTGATGAGGCCTGCTCCGAGGAGACAGCTGTAGTCGCCAACGCCAAGTACAATAGGAGTATGGTGCAAGTGCTTGCGTAGGAAGACGAACACATAGATGTGAAGCAGCTGAGGCCAAGAAGGTTCGTGAAGGTATGACACGAAAAGGCGATACAGTAAGGAGCGAACCAGGAGAGCGACACAACGATGAAGAAAAGGGTCGATGAGAAGGCTTAATCCCAGCACCGAGGCAGCCTTCCTTATATACATGCGTGGACGACGAGACTATAGAGGGGGCGGCTACGCTAAACCAGTACGATAAGGGGCAAATACTACGGGTACAAGTCGTCTATCGATGTGTTTAACGGGCTGAAAATAATGAGAAGGACGCGGGGTGAGTAACGTAAGGTAGAAGGAGGCGCGCATGGGCGCGTTCGGTTGCCCTTACCGATGCGAAGAAGGACGAGACGGGAAGAACGAGAAGTAGTACTATGATGTCTGAGGCGAGATGCAGACGAGACGAAAGAAGGCGAGAGTAATAATATAACCTAAGATGTCCGTGGGTCGTGGGAGATACGAATGACACTCTGTTCATGGGAAAACTTCACACAACAAACCAAACTCACTCTCTTGCCTTGGATCCGTATAAAATTCAAACCCCATCATCGTCTGGTCTTTTCGATCATCTCCACAACATCATCTCATTATCCCACACCACCAGCAATGCCCGAGACACCTCCCTCATCCGGAAACGCCACCCGTGTCACCCGCTCTACCACGACCAGCACAGTCAAGAAAACCATCACCGTCGACCTCTCTCTCGAAACGCTGGACCAAGCTACAAGCCGCGTGATCAACACCGACCCCAACTTTATCGACAATCAGACTGTTTCGAAGAAGAAGAGCGATAGATCGAAGTGGGGTACTATCACTTATCACGCTAATAAGGCTTGATAGAAGAATGATGTTCTAGTGGAGCTTATACGAATGGTGATGACGATGCATCGGATTGAGAGCAGTATCACCATACAGATTTCAGAGCATGCTGAGACTCTACACCTTTTCAAGGTATCACGAGCTACATCTGGATCGCAGTAAGATCCTCGAGTACACACTCAAACCAGCTCAGTCGCATATCAAGAACCATACGAGTACTGTTCCAAAGAAAAGTGATGGACTTATGCTGCCAGGGGCGGCATGTGACATATGCATGAGTCGCATAAGAGGATGAGATTGAGACGGAGCTCTTTTTCAGGGGACATGTGAGGTACTAGACCGAGTGCGAGACTCGCTTGAGTGCGATTGTATATCTCGCCCCGTTCTTCTTCGACGCATAGTCGAGAGATGATCGCTGTACCCTGAGTCTCTTCGAGGATTAGAACATTCCTTCGAAGGGGATTCCTTACAGTCATGACGATGTTACATCCCCCTAAATGTGAAAATACCCTATCTCCATGCATGCCCAGGCAAGAGAATGGACGAGAAGAAAGGAAAGTCTCAGGAAAGTCTTCACAACCGAGGCTGCCGAGATGCGCGGCGGGAATTGGCAATCGAAAGTCAAGATCAAACGCGTCGCACTCTACTCCATCTCATCTTGGCCGCTTTTCTTCCTCCATCGAGTGTCCTCTCCACCTGCCCCAGTAGGAATATACCCCATGCATGCGCTACATCACGAAGCGAGGGTGCATAGGAGAATCATAGAAGCGGATGGAAGGGGTAGAGTAATATGAGCCGTGATCACGCCACCGCCCCCTCTCGCTGGTCGGCAGAGAACAAACGAGCGTCACACCATGAATGGCACCCTTATGGAATACCCCTGCTCACCCAAATAAAGGTTGAGCCACTTTCGTCTCCCCCCCATGCCGGCACACGACCAAACACTGCGAACGAGGTAAGCTTGATCCCTCCCACCCTCGGACGCCCGCTGAACAGACGGCAGCCTACCATGTCCCCGCCATTACACCCCACCTTCGCCGAGCTCGCCCCGGTCCACCCCCGCATCCTCTTCCACCTCGCCCTCCTAGCCCCCTCCCTCGTGCTCTCCCTCTCCAGCACCACCTACGACGAGTACATCTCTGTGGTTTATACCCACGCGCGGTTGAAAGGGAGTAATGTCAAAGGCTATTTCGCGGGCTGGCTGGACGCGGTTGGTTGGGAGCGTGTCGGGAGGAAATGGGGTCCAGCGAGTAACGGCCGGGGAGGAAGCAAGCGCAAACGACTACCTTCATTCCCTCATCTCCCTACGCCTCTCACCCTCCCTCCTTTGTCATCATCCTCCGCCCCACCATCGCCATTCCTCCCGGACTCTTCCATCTCTTTGACCCGAAGCCCAAGAGACACCCGCAAATACTCTGCCCTCTCCCACACCTCCCACCTAACCCTCCTCGACGCCCCCTCCCTCTCCACCCTCTGCGCCGCGCACGTCCAAATCCTCTCCCACTCCCCCATCATTCAAACCTCCTCCGGCTCCTCCCACCGCTCTTCCGCAGAAGAACAGTGGCCCCTCGGTTCTGTTCGGGTCCTAGAAGCTGGTTGGGATTTGGTCTGGTACTTGGCGGACTCTCACGCGCCGGTACCGAGGTTTGAGAGTGTGCCGATATGTTGTATACCGCTGGATGTTTCGACGCTGATCGTCAATCTGGGCGAGTTTCCCAATGCCGAGTTGCATGGTCACCCTTCTCTTTCTTCTACTGCCTCTCTTATGGCTTCTACCCCTTGCTCTACCTTTCCAGAGGGCGGGAGCGGCGCAATAAAATGGATGGAAGAAGCGATATCCGAGCTCGCCTCGGAATTCCGTCTATCCCTCCTCGTACTCCGCGTCCCCCATGCCCCTCCCTCTACTTTGCCGTCGATATCAATCCCCGTATTCCGATACCCACCCTTCCCAGCACCCGTCCTAAGAATCACCTTCCTCCCAGCTCCCTCTGCCTCTGCCTCTCCATCGCCTTCTTCGCCTTCCTCTCCATCTGCCATCATCGACGAGAGAAAACGAGACGAGGTGGTCGAAGACTTGGCGCAAAGAGTTGTCAGCTATATAAGACAAGTCGGCAATTTCCCAGGTCCCAGGGTCGAATTCCTCCTCCCACCCTCCCCTTCCCCTTCCCCTTCCCATCCCTCGTCCCCTTCTTCTTCCTCCTTCTCATCCGACTCGGCGCCCGGGAGTACGACGGCGACGGCAGAGAGGGTCAGACAGCGGGTGGGCGAGATGGTTGGGGAGGGGGAAAAAGTAGCGTGGCGGGAATGCCGGTTTTTGGATGCCTAGGACTCTTTCGACTCTCTGCACGCCTTGATATTTCGAGGCTTTGAGGCTTTGAGGTTTTGAGGTTTTGAGGTTGAGGGGCGAGATCGAGCGAGATGTGAGATTTGAGATGTGAGACGAGAGAAGCGTATTTCAAGGGCGATGGGTCTGGGGGACAGAGAGGACATGGAGGGCGGGAGGCAGTGAGAGTTGGAGCATAAATCCGAAAATCAATCATCATGTTAGCAGATCCAACCATATATAGAGAAAAGTCGGTATGTCAATAGAACGAAGAACGAGGGAACGAAGAACGAGGGAACGAAGAACGAGGGAACGAAGAACGAGGGAACGAAGAACGAGGGAACGAAGAACGAGGGAACGAAGAACGAGGGAACAAGGGAAAATCATGTATTAGCTCTTTCCCCTTATCCACTGCCCTTACTATACAAAGTACCTTCCCTTCCTCGTCTGAGCGCAGGTACAGGTACCGAGAAGCGATCCAAAATGAGTCATCAGCGCTCCTCATCCACCACACGACCCCGACCCAAAGACCTAAAGACCCCAAAGACCCGTCGAACAGCCACCCCGTTCTAGACGCTCCGGATCCGATCCCATTGTGAAAAGTGAAGTGCTGGAGGAAAAGGAGAACGGGAAAAAATCCACACGATGCATTCCACCGTATCTCAACCATCCGAGTCCTTTGACTCCCTTCTTTATACGACATTGTAGTCCCTACATGAATCGTTAGCATACCACCCTTTGATGTAAACGCGAGTCGACGAGCCGACGAGCCGACGAGCCGACGAGCCGACGAGCCGACGAGCCGACGAGCCGACGAGCCGAGGAAAGAAAGTCGAGACGGCTCGGAAATAGCGAGAAGAAGGTAGGAAGAGGGAAAGACAAGGAAAAGGGCACAGGGAAAGAGATGACTCACAATCCAGTCTCGTGCTTCTTCGCCTCATTAAGCTTCCTAACAGCCTTCATAAAGTCTTCTTGGACGACAGCATCTCGGTCGTCGCGGATGGCAAACATGCCCGCCTGTCAATGCTGTCAGCTTTTACTCCCAGTAGACAAAGGAATGGAAAAGAGGAGAAGGAGGAAAGGAGAGGGAGAGGGAGAGAAGACGAAGCGGAAGAAGAAGGGGGACCCACCTCGGTACAAACATTCCTCAAATCCGCCCCATTAAACCCATCCGAAAGCTTCACCACCGCCTCATAATCAATATCCCCCCCCTTATTCACCCCCTTTGCATGAATCTTTAAAATCTCCAGTCTCCCCTGCTCATTCGGCAGCGGGATCTCAATCTTCCGATCCAACCTCCCCGGCCGCATCAGCGCCGGGTCCAGCGTATCCGGCCGGTTCGTGGCCATGATGACCTTGGTCCTTCCGAGCGAGTCGAACCCGTCCATCTGGTTGAGCAGTTCCATGAGGGTACGTTGGATCTCGCGGTCGGCAGAGGTGCCTTGGGAGAAACGGCGGCCGCCGATGGCGTCGATTTCGTCCATGAAGATGACGCAGGGTTCGTGTTCTTTGGCGTAGGCAAACATTTCGCGGATGAGCCGGGCGGATTCGCCAATGTATTTGTCCACAATCTGCCCCCCTTGTCAGCTTCCTCTTCTTCTTCTTCTTCTTCTTCTTCTTCTTGCTCCTAGAGAGGGAGGGGAGGGACGTACGGCAGAAGAAACGACCTTCAAAAAGTTGGTATTGAGCGTAGCAGCGACAGCACGGGCGAGAAGCGTTTTGCCGGTACCGGGGGGGCCGTAGAGGAGCACGCCCTTGGGGGGGTTGATACCGACGCGCTGTGGGTAGTGTCAGCTTCGGTTCCAAAAAGAGAGTCGAGCAGGGGCGATGGAAGGCAAGGGGCGAGGCAAGGCAAGAGGGATTGGAAGCATAGTACGCTCCCTGCGGCCGCTGTGCCGCCCACCCATCCCAACGCTAGCTCGCTCGCTTCACTCGCTCAAAGGACACACTGCTCGCTGCGCTCGCAGGCCCCCGTCCCACCCCCTTCCCAACGATTACTCGCTCGTTCCACTTGCTCGGACTCACCTCAAACAACTCCGGATTCATCAACGGCAACTCTATAACCTCCCTCAACTCCCTCACCTGCTCCCCCAACCCTCCAATCCCCGCAAACGTCGCGCTCCCCGGGTCCTCCAGGCTCATATTATACACCATCGGGTCCACCTCCCTCGGGAGAATACGCATGATGGTCAAGGTGGTCATGTCGAGGGCGACGCGGGTGGTGGGTTTGAGTTTGGCGGCGGGGAGGGTGGGGCGGTAGGATACGACGTAGCGCGGGCCGGAGGACGCTTTCACGATGACTTGCAGGGAGAGAGAGATCAGCATGGGCAAGGGAAGGAGGGAGGGAGGACTCACATCGCTCTTCGTCAAGCTGTTTGAGCACCTCGCCAATGATCTGCCCCACACTCTGCAACGCCTTGATATCATCCTCCGTCCTATCGAAATCCTTCCCAAGTGTTCGGATGTTCATGCGCACTACCCCCCGTCAGCTCCTGACCACTGCCCCTATGAGATGCACCCACCCGTCTTGAGGTTGTCGGACATGCGGCTGTGCTCCTTGACTTTCTGCTCTCCCATCAGCCCCTCCCCTCCCCTTCGCTGTATTACGTACCTGTCTGTACGCGTTGATGGCGGTGTACTTGTCCTCGGGCATGTCGGCGGGGCGGACCACCGGGGGCCGGGTCGAGCTGGATGCGGCGGCGGACATGGTGCTCGTTGTGCAGAGTAAGAGAGAGCGCGAGAAGATGGCTGGAGACAAAGTGACGCGGCCTCTTTTTACGTAACGACCCCTTCTCCATGCTTCCACGTCACGACATTGTTCACTCAACTGTATCACATCTCCTTCCCCTTCGACTCTATTCTACCTCCTACCCATTGTAACCATAGCGAGTTTTGGAATAGATTAGTACCTCGGGACTGATGCATTACGACTCTCTCTAACAAATTCTTGTGTATGACGTTTGCTCGCGTACCTCGTCCGCGAGTTGTCCGCGAGTCAGCCAGCCGCCCCCTCCCGGCGCCCTCGGATCCTTTGTCGGTGTGGGTAGATAGGAAGTATCAGTCCCATCCTCACTACCTTCTCTTTCCGTAAAGTGAGCCACAACGTTGCGTTGGAAACCAACCTCGATCACCATGTTTGCAGACAGACAGAATATCCCACGCTTTCCATCCCCCTTGCATCCTCCCCATGTCCTTCCCCGACTTTCTCAAAGTCACCCAAGCTCTCTAATACAGCTCTGACTGGAGTATCATCACAAAGACGATACGACTGCAGCCGTATCGCGATGTGTCTATCCACCTTTGACCGTATCGCCAGTTCAAGGTTTTTGGTATCGCGAATGGAAACGCTGTGCCGGTGAGTGCGAGAGATCACGATAATTGATTCGGACACGGATGTGAGTGAGGGATCCGGATGGGGAGAGCTGGTAGGATTACCGAAGTGTGGCTGTAAGGGAACCGGGGACGGAGACGGGGAGATGGCAAATCTAGTTTGCGAAGCGTTGGTATGCATATGACCTGGATAGATGCATTGCCCTTTGCAGCGGAACAGTGACAGTATCGATTGCTGTGGCTGAGTGTGACGGTAGAGGGAATGCCGGCAAAGTAATCTGATCCGAGATTGCACCATCTCTTTCCGCATTTCCTACACTTCGCTCAAGTCTCGTTCATAATAGAATCCTCCGTACTCCATCTCTCGTCTGAGAATACTACCCATATACACACGTGTTATTGCACATGTCCCTCTACGACATGACGGAGCTCAAACCCCATCCATCCTCCTCGACATCCCATCACCCCGCTCCTCCTCCGCCATACACCCTACACCCCACCCCTTCTTCTGCCCCCTGCCGCGAGCCCAACCATTTAGCCCTCGTCGCACGAACACGTCCCCCACACCGGATGGGCAAATCCTACAAGAACGAACCCAAAGACGTCTTGTTCGACGGCTATTCCGACGATCCGAAGGATGCGCTTATGGACTTTGAATCTGTTCTCGCTCATCCGCTTTCCGCGTAAGCCTCCTTCTTCGTGCCAGAGCTGTATGGCTTATACGGTGTGGGTTCTGGTATGTAGGCCGATCGACATACAGGCTTACTGCACATTGGTATACCGATGCGTCCACTTCAAGTCACGCGGTCCTTACTCCGACTTTTACTCGAGCCCCAGGTCAGAAAATGAGATCAGAGAGGGCGCCAGAGCTGTGTTATGGGAGAAGAAGATGAACAGAGGGTCAGTATTCTATGCTATCCGACGGTGAAGAGACCATGATTCATGAACACTCTAACAGCTTCTTCCTCGACGAATTCCCATGCCCGCCGGGAAAACCCTCGACCACCACCTTATGGACCTGGTCGCAACCTCGCAAGAGCTTCATGCCTCGTTTCGCCAACTCACCTTTGCACCTCTTGGAAGGCGTCCCGAAGGTATTCGGTTCTTACCATTCCATCCTAAAGGTGAGTGACTGTCGTATACAAGTCTCGTCCATTCCCTGACTCATCTTGCTCCAACACCTCTGATCTCAACATCAATCAGAAAACAGTACTCTCATTCCACCCATCCGCTGAGTGAGTATCTGACTATTACTGATCTCGCGCATGTTCTAATATTTGTCGCAGACCAGCTCGCAGACCAATCCGAAACCTCGGAGATACTTTATGGTTATCAGCAGGGGTACACAGTCGATCTTCATCCAGCGCGAGCACCCGGAACAATCAATGACCATCAGCTCTTGTCAAGTTTTTCCCCGGCAATGTCTTCAAATACATTCGCAAACACCTACTCGTAAAGGCGCTTTTGGAGCAGGGTGGAGAGGCGGCAGTCTGATGATATCTGATGATAAGATGATAGGGCGATGCTGGAGAGATGCACGGTACGTTCTGCCCCGGTGTCCCCTTGGGACCGAGGCTGACATTAGGGTGCTTCCCAGGAAGGTCCTTCCTCCTCGCTTCAGGAGGTGATCGCATCCTCAGCGTCCCGACGACCCCTTCTCCAGATCCGACGACCCCTCATCGACTTTACGCCTCCCGTGCTCAACGGTCCGTCCTCATCGGCGCCGTGCCAGCTGCCAACTGCCTGCTACGTCGCCATATCGCCTATCGCTCTCCTACGTTTCGATTGACTTCGCCTCATGATGTCGTCTCTCGATACTGTCACATCAACCGAGGGAGTATCTTGGCGAATTATGATGATGGTTCCTCTGCTACTTGTGCTGTACTCTTACCTCGATATGATGCAACGTCAGTGGGCATAATCGCTGGTGTACCGCTGTTTGCAGATTTACAGTATGGAGCCGACGCGTTTTGCAATGTCTCAGCCCCGGTCAATCGTATACTGGTTTGCAAGGTTGGTTATACACAAAGGATTAAAACTACTTTACAGGTCGTATACTATTATATGTACAACAATTATATGCTTCTATATAGGGCTGAATGTCCATATGCCCACCGACTTCATCCTCAAGCCGAGGATCTCATCCCGAGTCAACATCGCGACCTGCCATCCTCGTCTCCTCGCCACCACAGCAGCCAGCTCTATCCCGTCATCCTTTACAACCGGAGTGTACATCTTGCCTGTCTCGTTGTAGATAGTGATGTGTAGCTCCTGTTGAGCAGGGTCTCCCGCCAAGAAAAGGTAACTCGGCTTATCCACCTGAAAACACCAATCCAACTCTTGGTATTGGGCTTGCTGTTGGAGGGAAGCAATTTTGGCTTGGAGAGAGGGGAGGACGATGGGGGAGAGCTCGAGTGTCGCCGCATAGCTTACCACCGACATAGGTGCAAGTGTACTTGCAAAGTCGATGGTAACCTGCGCAACACCATTGTCGAGTACGCCACGTTGGTTGGGCGCCATGACGACGTTGGTGTCGATGTGACACTCGTCAAACGGGAGAGGATTGTTCCCAAGAGGCTGCTCAGGCGGAGGGACCCAAGTGTCTTGGAGGTCGGCCTGTGGGTGTGATGTGGCCACAGAGTTCAGGTCGGAAAGGTACGCTTTCCAGGCCCCGGCCTGTACCAAGAGCAGCTCTATATCGATGAGGCGGATCTTGGGGCTGTGGGTAGACACCAGCCCCTCGAGAGCAGCTTTGAACTCAGGATGGTCATCAAGCTTCCACGTCAAGACGTCAATCCTGTAAGCGTCGCTCATGGGAGATTGAGCGAGGGAGGAAGCCAGATCTTGCGTGTAGAGGTCTTGATAAATCCGAGTCGCCGGCCAGCTGGCTTCAAGATCATCCTCGCGGAGATTGGTAGCGCCGAGGGAGAAGCGGGATAGGTTTGACATTGTACTCTATTCCAGCATAAGCTCTTGTTGGTCATGTTGGGGAGAGGTGACAAGTGGGACGTACGGTGTCTTCAATGATGTGGGCGTACAAGCCGAACATCTTTGTAACCCCAGCTACGCCGCCATCCATCGGACGCCCCCTACTCTTCCTGCTCAGACGACTCTGCTTCATGGCTTCCAGGAGAAGCAAAGTCGACCGCCGAACCGCCAGGCGAAAAGGTGCCTTCCCGTCTTCCCCCCAATGCTGACCCAACGCGTCTCTCAACATTTGGCGCTTCCTCTCATTTCCGACTCTCGAAAGCTCTATCAAGGCGTGACCTGTGAGCTCGAGGAGGACGACGGGGGCTTTGGTGAAAATGGAAGTGTGAGCGGAGATTTTCGGCACAACGCTACAATGAGTCAGCACATTTCTGTTCCGTAGACATCACTCGGACTCACGGTCGCACCACCCTTCTTCCCCTGGTTCTCCTCTTGATTCGCCATGCGATCAACAGCCCCGCAATCACACAGCCTATTACTACACCAAGAATTATCCCAGCAATCGGCCCGCCGCTGAGACCGCTGGTACCTACGAGGACATTAGCATGTAAGGCCTTCGGGTGAGAAATACCAAGCGGCGTGTTCCATGAGGCTACGGAGGGAGCAGGGGCAGAATGGACCATAGCGACGGCGAAGAAGTAAGCTTGTGCGAGGGATTGAATTTGACGAAGAGTGGTGCTGGATGCAGGTTGGTCTTGGATGCAGGTTGGTTTTGGAAGCAGGTTGGGTTGGGATGAAGGCTGGGTTGGGATGAAGGAGGTAGATAGGCAGAATGTAAATGCATTCGCGTCGCTCGCACCGAGGCAGAATGTAAAGGCATTCGCGTCGCTCGCACCGGCGGTCATGTTCTCCGCGTCTCGCACCAATCTTTCAAGCGTGGCGTAGCCTCTGGTCCCTGCTTGCTAGATCACAAGCATCAAGAAAGTTTCTTGGTATCTCCGTGTAGCTGCAGCTCTAGGGAAGAATTACTGGTATATGTGTCGATACATGCAGTGGTCGTTCGGCAACCATCCTCCCAAACGTCAACCTCCTTGTCGGTCATCATTTGTCATAATGTGCCAAATCAGCTGGCGGGTACTCGAGAACTACCGAGAAGACATATGCTATCGTCCTGTACACGCTTTGTTCACAACCTTGTTGAAGCGTAATAGCCGAACAGACATAGTTTGTCTAGCAAGCATCAGACGTCAAGCGTTCTGGTCGCTGTGGTATGGTGTTAGGACCTAAGGCTGCCAGGCTGCTTATGCGACATCAGTTCAACAAGCCCTATCTATCGGCCCATCACTCGGAGCCCTGCAAGTAAGGTTCGATGGCTATAGTCATCACACGTCCCGAGTATCCGAGGGTGTGTTTTCTGACTTTGATCCCCCAGATATATAGCGCCATTATGTGGATTTCCACCCTCGAACAAGTATAATCTCTGTGAGAATATTGATAGTAGTTCCTGGCCGACGCCCCCAGTGGCCGCCTTGTATTTATGTCCCCTTGGAGCACCTCCACAGCAGAGAAGACCGTGAAACGGCCTCTGTGCGTTCCCTATCAGTGCCCATCCAAATCATATATGCATAGAGTACTCCTTGTTGTGATATTTCTGGAAAGAACGGCACACTGTTGAACGGCAAGAGCCGTCAGGCATAATGAGATTGACAGGAGGACAATAGCGGCAGTGCCCGCCCGCCCGCCTGGTTCCCGCCGCGACGCTTTCCGCCCTTGTTTCCGCCGATGGTTACATTCTACCCGCTAACCGATATCTTCTGTTTGTCTCTTAGCCTTACAGCTACTGTAGTCGTTGCATAATCTACAGCATACGAACTCAATATCTCAGTCCCCTCCAGAAGCTCAGCCATCATGCTGCTATTTGCCACCCCAATACTCTCCCCCTCTGGCTCCAACAGCGACACCTCCTCAGATGACTCGGCTGTCATGACCTTTCCAGCGGAAACCAAAAACAGGCAGGTCCAACTTGAGACGTGTCAGACAGCATTGCTGACATCTTACCTACAGGGATCACTCCTTCTCCATCCCTCCTCTCTTCGAAGATCGCAGTCAATCTACCTCAGTGATGCGAACGCTTTCCCAGCAGAGAATGGGCAAATGCAACCAAGAAAAGACCAAGGATGTTCTTTTTGATGGCTTTTACAACGATGGCGAGGAAGCTCCCATGGGTTGTGAGCCCATTATTACCCACCCGTTAGCACCGTATGTTGTTCTTTCTGTTGCGCCAAGTGGCTCATCTACTGAGCATCGCGTCAATGAGCTCTGCTAATCGCTTCTATATAGACACTGTTCCGCTACTTCGTCTTCTGTTGCCGATACTAGCCAGTCGATCCCGGTAACTGAAACACGCCCCCGCGAGAGGATGGGCCAATCATTCAAAAAAGAGGCCAACAACGTTCTCTTCGATGGCTTCTCCAATGATCCTACAGATGCTTTAATGGATTTTGAGTCTGTAATCGAGCACCCTCTTTCATCGTAGGCTGATTCCTGCTGCTGGAAGACGTGACACTGCTGATGTTTATCATTCAGGCCGATCGACATACAGGCTTACTGCACATTGGTATACCGATGCGTCCACTTCAAGTCACGCGGTCCTTGCTCCGACTTTTACTCGAGCCCAAGGTCGGAAAGTGAGATCAGAGAGGGAGCCAGGGCTGCTTTGAGAGAGAAAGAATCCAACAGGGGGTGAGTACTCAAATCAGTGGCCACGATATATGCTGATCACAGTCCCTGAACAGCTTCTTCCTCGACGAATTCCCATGCCCGCCTGGCAAACCCTCGACCACCACCTTATGGACCTGGTCGGAACCTCGCAAGAGCTTCATGCCTCGTTTCTCCAAGTCACCTTTGGACCTCTTGGAAGGCGTCACGAAGGTATTTGGTTCTTACCATTTCATCCTAAAGGTGAGTGACTGTCGTCTACAAGTCTCGTTCATTCCCTGACTGTCATTGTAGACCAACATCCGCGCTTTCTATCCCCCCTTCCTCCTACCAATGTCCTTCGCTGACCTTCTAAAAGTCACCGAAGGGCTTTACAAGTCCGGAGGGAGCGTCATCATCAGAGCAATGCGACCGCAGCCTTGGCGGGATGCGACTATCCATCGTCAACATTATTGGCGGTTCAAGCGCTTTGGTGTTGTGGATTTGGAAGCTGTGCCAAGGAGTGCTATGGATGAGGATGATGATGATTCAGCATCGGATCTGAGTGATGATGATCCCGCTTGGGAGACTTGGGATGATTATAGGAGTAAAGCTTCAAGGGGAACGGGAACAAGAACGGGAATGGAAATGGGAATGGGGAGATTGAAAGACTGGTTTGCGAGGCGCTGATATGTGTATCTTGTATCATAATGTGCATGTCTAGGGCAGTATCTTCATAATACACACAGAGCCAGATGATTAGATGTACTGTATCATTCCCCGTCAGTGTGCCTACCGTCAACAACATAACAATAGGCCTCCGATGCTTCGCCAACCTCCTGACTGGCATTGCAGGCCGACATCTGTGCCTTCGGTTTGCCATTTTCTTCCCCGTGTCTTGATCTGACCTTCTCAAGTTCCCGAGGGGCCAGATGGAGCATTGCCGTCACGACAATCCCATTCTCCGACGTCAGTATCGGCGAATAAAGCTTTTGACGTAGGCGTCGTGGTTAAGAGGCTGTAACGTTGTTCATTGACGCCTCGACGGTGGCTACACTCGCCACCGTCATCTTTTATCCTGTACTTCTCCGTCATCTGATCCTCAAGTGGTGATCAGAAATTGCAGCTTGCCTCTGACGAATATCATCCATAGGCGTGATTCCAAAGTTTATCCTTTCCGCCTTGACGTGCGCCGCGTCTCTCTTTCCGCATCTCTTTCCGTATCGCTCACGCGCCGCCCAAGTTTTCAATCGCATTCCTACACCATCGTCACACTATTCCCTGCTTACACCTCACTACCAAATGACAGAACTCAAGCCCTTCCCAGCCTCCTCGTCGACATCCTATCACCCCGCTCCCCCTCCGCCATATACCGACCTACCCAACCCATCTCTAACCCCCCACCGAGAGCCCAGCCATTTAGCGCTCGTCGCACGCACACGTCCCCGACACCGAATGGGCAAATCCTACCAGAATGAACCCAAAGACGTCTTGTTCGACGGCTATTCCGACGATCCCAAGGATGCGCTTATGGATTTTGAACCTGTTCTCGCTCATCCGCTTTCCGCGTAAGCCTCCTTCTTCATGCCAGAGCTGTGTGTCTGATACGGTGTTGGTTTCGGTATGTAGGCCTATCGACATACAGGCTTACTGCACATTGGTATACCGATGCATCCACTTCAAATCACGCGGTCCTTACTCCGACTTTTACTCGAGCCCCAGGTCGGAAAGTGAGATTAGAGAGGGCGCCAGAGCTGTGTTATGGGAGAAGAAGATGGACAGAGGGTTAGTCCTCTTTGCTGTCCAACGGCGAAAAGATCATGATTCATGAACACTGTAACAGCTTCTTCCTCGACGAATTTCCATGCCCGCCGGGCAAACCCTCGACCACCACCTTATGGACCTGGTCGGAACCTCGCAAGAGCTTCATGCCTCGTTTCGCCAAGTCGCCTTCGGACCTCTTGGAAGGCGTCCCGAAGCAATTTGGTTCTTACCATTCCATCCTGAAAGTGAGTGACTGTCGTATACAAGTCTCGTCCATTCCCTGACTGTCATTACAGACCAACATCCGCGCTTTCTATCCCCCCTTCCTCCTACCAATGTCCTTCGCTGACCTTCTCAAAGTTACCGAAGGGCTTTACGAGTCCTGGACGAGCGTCATCATCAGTGCAAAGCGACCGCAGCCTTGGCGGGATGCGACTATCCATCGTCAACATTATTGGCAGTTCAAGGACTTGGGTGTTGTCGATTTAGAAGCTGTGCCAAGGAGTGCTATGGATGAGGATGATGATGATTCAGCATCGGATCTGAGTGATGATGATCCCGCTTGGGACACTTGGGATGATTATAAGAGCAAAGCTTCAAGGGGAACGGGAACGGGAACGGGAATGGGGAGATGGAAAGACTGGTTTGCGAGGCGCTGATATGTGTATCTTGTATCATAATGTGCATGTATTGGGCAGTATTCTCATGATGCACGGCGAAATATTGAGCGGAATGGTTCACGGGAGTACGAAGCCGGTCGAAGGTCCAGCAAAGTCGGGCGAAGCAGCTCGCTGAAAGAGCAAAGTCGGGCGAAACAGCTCGCTGGGAAGGGAAGTATAGTGAACTATTAGTTCGCCATCAAGCACGGCATCGTGACATAAGGCGAGAATGTTCGACATGGGGCGAAATAATACATGACAGGGCGAGGCAGATTTCATGGGTATATAAGGAGGCCATTCGAGCCCACTTTCAAGCTTTTTCCCAGCTTTTTCCTCGATGAACCAGATATGGACTTGGCTGCTTACTCTCATATAAGCCCTCAGGCCATTTCTATACATCTCTATACTGTTTAAGAGTAGCTGACCCGTCGGTCGGCATAGCCCCTTGACATGTATTGTGCACTACCTAATCATTGCAACATCGACAACGACAATCATCAATTCAATTGTCGGGGCATCCTCGTTCTTCCAATCTGATCACCACAGTCGCGACAGAGTATTCACCTATCACTGGGGTACTAGGGAATGATTGCGCCAACGAAAGCGTCTGTACGGGGTGCAGGCTGGGAGGCTCTGAAGAAGGAGCCAGCAGCAGCAGGGCCGCGGCGCGAGACACTTTGATTGGTGCTGACTGGTGGAGGTTATGATGGCAGGAGGTGACAGAGCATGTAAACTGTACCTTACATTACCTTAGCGAGACACTTCCTTTCCATTCATGCTATGTACATCCCAAGACCGAAGCTGGGCTCAAGAGAGAACAGATACGGTTCGACAAATGATCTAGTAGATGAGGGTCAACATGGCGGCGGTCACCGCTTTCTTCTCCCACGTGGCTCGTTCCTGCCTCCACCGCCCGCCAAAAATTGGACCACCCTGTGATTCCTGCTGGCGGTAATTGGCTGCCATTTGTTTGTGCTCTATGCTCAGACGCATCGCAGCTTTTATCGTCAGACCACAATTATCACTCAACATGACCACGACGCTCTCCCCCTCTCGCTCCCCGCCCCCCAAGAGGCTCAAGACACAGCAGACCAAGGATCTGCTCGACGTTACCGAGGCCCCCGTCAACGCACTCTTCGTGCCCCCTACCGAAATCGAGATCGACGCTGCCCCCACCCCCACCCCCGCCAAAGGCAAAAAGCCAAAACACAACCGCCCCCCTCGCCCCCCAAAAGCGCAAACGAAGAAAGAACGCCGCCGCCGTCCGCTCCCAGAGTCATTCTCGCCCGCAGACGTGCTGTGGCATGATATCAAAGACTTTTTGGGGGAAGACTATGTGCAGGAGGTGATTGGGAGGGGGGAGCATGAGGAGTGGGAGGCGCCGGAGGAGTTGGGGCCGTGGGAGATTGTGGAGGTGAGGGCGGGAGGGTGGACGAGGGGAGGTGAGTTATCTTATTGATTGGGAAGGGGGCGGATGGGGGCCGAGCGAGCAAAGTGAGCGAGTATATGTTGGGGTGGGTGGGCGGCAGCGGCACAGAGACCGAAGGGAGCGTACTGTGGGAGCGAAGCGACAATATCTGTCCGATAGCAACCGGAGGGAGCGTACTCTCGGAGCGAAGCGACAATATCGCTGGGGAGGTGGCGGACTCAATATATACAAGCATGTCACTAACACTTATCCCCAGGCGAATCACTCTCCCTCTACACCTCTCCCTCAACCTCCAAAAAATGGGCCATCATCACCCCCTTCGCGCACCCCGGCGACCTGATCCGCGTCAAGATCCACAAACACGACCGCCTGCACTGCCTCGCCGACCTCGTCGAGATTCTCGAATACTCTTCCGAATTCCGTGGTGGGGAGGGTGATCGTCGGGTGAACCCTGAGGGTGGGTGCAAGTACTTTGGTGAATGGTGCGTCCTTACTTATGTGTACTCTTGTGGGGTATGGGCTGACGATACTCTAGTGGCGGGTGTCAACTCCAACCTCTCCCCTATTCCTTGCAGCTCGAACACAAACTCCAAACCGTCTCTCTCGCCTACACCCGCTTCTCCACTCTGCCCCCCCACCTCGTGCCCACCATCCTCCCCACCATCGGCTCCCCCAAACAATGGGGCTACCGCACCAAAATCACACCCCACTTCGACGCTCCCCCGCGCTGGGCTCGCAACCGGCTCGACAAGGCCAAAGACGGGGGTGAAGACGAGTTCGCGATGGTGGAGCAAGAGGTCGCGCAGGAGATTGAGTGTAATGTCGGTTTCGAGCGCAAGGGCAAGCCGGGGGTGTTGGATATCGAAGAATGCCCCATCGCTACCCCCGTCCTCAACGCCCAAATGGCCCTCTCCCGCCCCGTCATCAAATCCACCATCACCTCCTACAAAAAGGGCGCTACCATCCTCCTCCGAGACGCTCTCGCACCTCCCGACCCTCTGCCCACTGCCGAACACCCCTGGGACGCTGAAAAGCACGTCGAGGCCGAATCCGACCACGTCGCTGTGACGGACCACAAACAACAAGTCTACGAACGCGTCGGTCCCTGGCTCTTTTCCTTTACCGCGGGGTCGTTCTTCCAGAACAACAACTCCATCCTCATCCCCCTTACGACCTACGTCCAAGAAGCGATCTTCCCCCCTCCCTCCTCCCCATACTACTCGCCCTCCACCCCGCTGCCCACGCACCTCGTCGACACTTACTGCGGCTCGGGGTTGTTTGGGATTACGTTGAGTCCAAAGTTTGAGAGGGTGGCGGGGGTGGAAATCTCGCCGATGAGTATCGAAGCTGCCAAAGTGAATGCGGATATGAACGGTCTCCGCGAAAAGACAAAGTGGCTTTGTGGGAAGGCGGAGGATATCTTTGGGGGTCTTGCCGAACAAGGGTTTGCGGGTGGCCATTCTTGCGTTGTCGTTGATGTACGTTCTCCACCCTTCCTTCTTTCTCCTTTCTTGTGTGGAGTGGAGTGAAAGCTGACATTCAGGATAGCCACCAAGAAAAGGCTGCGACGCACCCTTCCTCCAACAACTACTCACTTTCCGACCACTCACCATCGTCTATGTCTCCTGTAACGTGCATACCCAAGCGCGCGATGTCGGGTACCTCGTGCACGAGAGCAATAAGCTCGGCGCTGTCAAGGAGGGCGAGGAAGGGGAGGGGTGGAAGTATGTGTTGGAGAGTTTGAGAGGGTTTGATTTGTTCCCCCAGGTATGTCCTTCTCTTCCCCGGGGACTGTGGTGGTAAATGTGGATTTGTGCTGATGGGAGGTGTGTAGACGGCGCATGTCGAAAGCGTAGCGGTGTTGAGATTGACCAAACAATAAACCTCCCCTCCTCCCTCCTCCCTCGCCCACCAAACGTACCCTCTTGCCCCGCCCGGCGCCGCTCCCTCCAATACCGACTGCTATCATATGTCATCTAATTATACCCTTCTCGGGTTGGGACAATTATACCCCTTGTCAATTACAGTATCAGTAGAATACACATAGTCCATACATTCAATTCATAGAGCTTTGAGCATTATGCATTTGTACCATCCTGTCTCACGTGTCACAAGACCAGTACTTCCGTGTTTCATCCCTAACCGCTCAAGACCAGGTACGTCCAACTCACAGTCCCGGTGTATCCTCTTCCAGCTCGGGGATTTCGTCTATCCCTGGCACCGAGTCGGCATCGGCGTCGTAATGTGACGGGTAAGACGTGTAAGAGGGTTAGCGTAGCAAGTGTTTGGGTTAGTGCTTAGGATCCTTCAGACTCCCACACGACAAGCTGTACGAGTACCGGTAGAGTCCCAGGGAGGGTCTTTCGGGCAGCAGGCGGGATTATGAGCGTCATGGCCAAATGCATGGGATTGGACTAGCTGTTATCATTCACCACCACTACATGGCACCAGTACTGCTACAGTACTATGATCACCGATATGTGGTTCTTTCTGTACATTTCTCATTAGACCACAATTCTATCCGAGGCTTGAAGAAGCGGGCTGAGAAGGAGGTGGCGTTGGTGGAGGCGTCAGAGGTGGCGGCGGCGTACGCGGAGGGGTGGGTAGTCCGCTGGCAGTCGAGCTATAACATACGTCGGATATCGTGGTGGATATTTTGATGGGTCCGCAGCTAGTGGTTGAAATGTTGGACGAGCTTGGAAGAAAAGAAGAGATGATGTCGATTTGCGCGTCGTTGAACTCGGACATTGTCTGTGACTTTTTTCGGGCGTGGTGGTTGGTACTAGTTGGATAGAATTGAAACTCGAAGGAGGGGGCTGTGATTATATAGGTGAGTATATACGCTGGTCAATGCTGCTTTCGAAATTCAACCGCGATTTTCCAACTCAGCCGTCGCGAAAGGGCATACAGCAAGGGCACGTCTATAAATATCATATTGCGCGAAGAAGAAAAAATGATTGGAGGCTCTCCATTCTTGTAATGGCCTTTTCAGCTCCCGATTCATTGAGCCCACCTTATATTCCCGCCCTAGTATGATATCGGCTGTAGAGCGATTGGTAAACAAAGACCTGCCTTCCGATAAGGAACGAGGGATGCCTTGGCGGGCAACAATATGATTGAGCCTGGGCAGACGGTCCGGCCGGAACGGTTTAGCCCTGTTATGTCTTCAGTCAACCTGCCCCTCCTCCGGTCACGTCCTGCGAGTGAAGCGTGACTGTCCGTGGTACCTTGGGCGAAGGTCAGACAGGGGCAACAGATATGCAAAGATGCAGAGGGTTAGCAAGAACCAGATACTTACCCTTTCATGATTCCTGGGCATCATGACATTGTTAATTGGGCTGGTTGTGCAAGTCGCCTAGGCGTTACCTAGGACGAATCATTGTTAGCCTCCTCCCTCCTGCCCCCTCAGTCACCAACTATGTCTCATGCATGTGAAAGTAGTGATTTGGTGACATCCTAATCACTCATCTTTGTTGTCCCTAGCTCACTTAGATGACCGCGAGTACCTGTTCGCTTCAAAAGCTGGTCTTCTGACTCCATTGACTACCTCCATAAGTATGTCAACGCTGATACTTCCATCGTCCAAAGGATGGTCGTCAGCTTCACTTGCTGTCATGGTGTCGTTGCCGTTGCCGGTGGTGGTGTTGTCATCGGGCCGGGAGGAACGGCGGGTGGTGTTGCCTTGCGTGGTCTCGTCTGGAGCCGGAGCTGCACTACGGTCCTCGGATTGGGTCATTACTATTCCTGCCTATGTGCCTATGTGCCGATGACTAATGTGGATGTGATGATGGCTCTCAAGGATATGGAAACGAGTCAAGAGGATACGTGTTTGTTACGGTCCCTAGGTAGGTGGGGCAGTTCGTGTGTGAACAGGCTCGCCCCACTCCGGACAGGCAGGCGACTTGCTTACGATCAATCCTAGAGCTCACAGGCTCGTTATCCAAGTTCTAGTGCGACAGGGTCTTTCACACGGCAAGACAACTGTTGAGAGGCGCGGCTAGAGCAGGGTACAGATGATAAGGGTTGTTTTGGACGACACAGGGACTCCGAGTATGTGTGGTCGAGAGCGAATAGGTAGCGCAGGGGCAATTCGACTAGTAGAGGCGACGGTCGGGGACAGGTCTGTTCTCAGTCTAGTGGAAGTTGAGGCTCATAACCTGTTGGAAGGTTAGGCTATCTAGTTTGCATATGAAGAAGAAGGACTGTGTACACGAGAACATGGAAATCTATGGGGAAAACTCTCGCGCGCCTAATTCCCTTCTTCGCCTATTTCTACCACTACAAGTTCACGCCGGGATACCACAACAGTTATGTACAGACTATACGCTGGTACCGTCCTCTTGATTTTGCCTTGTACAAACCAGAACTGCTGAAACACTTGCCCAACCGCCGGTTGATAAAAGACTGTGCCTCTTCTGAGTAAGGGTGAGGAGATGCGGCCGAAAATGGGCGGCAGCTGCTGCTGCGAGAACGAAGAATCTTTGGGATCTGTGAATAGTATACTCGTAGTGATGCTTCCACGGGATATGGGGTTTACATCCGGCAAGTCATATTGTGGCATTGTGTTTCTACATACTCTACAACAGAATCACAGACAGAACTCTCCCTTCATCCGACTCTTCGCGTCCGAGTCGTCCTTATTGTGTCCCCTTGATAGCGCCTCCGACTGCTCCCGCTACGATGATAATTACTAGTACACCAATACAGATGGTCCACTACAGATGTTTATCGGTCAGCGTATGGAACGGACAAGTGTCGCAAACGCAGAACGCCGTAAGAGATTAGTAAGACTGGGAACGCACCTTCATGTTTTTCCACCACATCTTTCGACGAGTCACGGCTGCTTGGGTCTTGAATGACTGGGAGCTGATTCCAAGTGCCTCTAGAAACGATTGTCAGCCCTCCTCCCGCCGTCAACGCTATCGACATATAACGCACGCGTCCGCTGATCCAAATGCTCCAACCTCTCTCCCCTCTCCGTGATCATCTCGATATTCTTATTCAGCACATTTTTTGTTGCGTCAATCTCCTTGTTGATGTCGTCTATCTTTTTCCGCTGTGGGTCGTGCGCTTCTGGCTTTTGACTCTGCTCAGGCGACGAGGATGAGGAAGAGTCGGCGAGGGGGTGATTGCGAGTACCGGCGAAGAGTTCTACATCATACATTAGTAATGAAGCTTGAGGTAATAAGACTCACCTTCGTGTACGATCGATCCGCTCAGAGGCCGATATGGTCGGCTCTGCGGAGACGGCTCGAACGGTTCAGCCCTGTATCGTCATCAGTCAACTTGTCCCTCGAGTCGCGTTCCTCGGGCGGAGCGTACATTTTCGTGGTACCTTGAACGAGGGTCAATCAGGATCAAGAGAGATGCGAAACTGCATCCACTGACATTGCCATACGGCATACACGTTGCAATGCAATCCTTTCTCCTTCCTTTCTTCATACCCTGCTGACGCGCCTCTTGATATAATCCCGCCATTTGCCGCCACGTGGTCCCTCGTCACCGTCGGCGCCCCCCGCCCTCCGCGTGTCCACCGCGATGTCACTCTCACTGCGCTACTCTCCTCTATCATTTCATCCATCTCCCCTCCCCCCCTATACCCCCCTAGCAGCATCAGAGGCACGATGGCCGCCCCCGAAAAGCCCATCGTCTTCACCGAACACCTCCAGCTCACCGCCCTCGGCGTACAGCCCCCCTCCATCTCCTTCCAGACCCTCACCCTCGAGTCCGACGCTTGGATATGTGTCAGAGAACAGCAGGGGGAGAGCCCGCAGGTGGTGATTGTCAACCTGAATGATGTCGGAGATGTCGTCCGTAGACCAAGTGAGCGAGATGCAGGTGGTCGGGTGGGGATGTGCACTGACAACGCGTAGTCACTGCCGACTCGGCAATCATGAACCCCTCCCCTTCCGAAAAGATCCTCGCCCTCAAAGCAGGCCGCCAGCTGCAAGTATTCAACCTTGGTGCCAAGGCCAAGCTCGGCACGCATCTGATGAATGAGGATGTGACGTTCTGGAGGTGGATCAACGCCACAACGCTCGGTATCGTGACGGATAGGGAGGTGTGGCATTGGAAGGTTATCGATGGCGAGGCGGCTCCCAAGAAGGTAAGCATTCTCGTTCAGCGCCATGTGTAGATGGGGCGAGCTGGCTGGTGGGAGAGATGTGCAGGGCATGGAGGATGATCTTGTCGCGTGCTGTCACATGTGCGGTGCTGACAAGCCCTAGGTATTCGACCGCCACGCCAACCTCAACGCCAACCAAATAATCAACTACAAAATCTCCACCGACTCCAAATGGCTGGTCCTCGTCGGCATCTCCTCCAACCCCAACGCCGGCCAACCTGGCGAGAACGGTTTCAAGATCAAGGGGGCTATGCAGCTCTTCTCCTTGGAGCGGGGCGTGTCTCAGCCTATCGAGGGTCACGCCGCGACATTCGCCGAGATCAAGCTCGAGGGCGCGGCGAACCCTACCAAGCTGTTTGCTTTCGCCGTCCGAAGTGCGGCGGGCGCCAAGCTCCACATCGTCGAGATCGGACATCAGGCTCCCAACCCTCCCTTCCAAAAGAAGGCCGTCGACGTCTTCTTCCCTCCTGAGGCTACCAACGATTTCCCCGTCGGTCTTCAGGTTTCCCAGAAGCACGGTATCATCTACCTCACCACCAAGTTTGGATTCATCCACTTGTACGAGATTGAGACCGGCCAGTGCATCTACATGAACCGAATCTCGGGAGAAACCATCTTTACCACCACAGAGTATGAGACTTTGAACGGTGTGCTTGGTGTCAACAGGAAGGGTCAGGTGTTGAGTGTAAGCGTGGACGAGGACACCCTTGTGCCTTATGTTCAGCGTGCGTAGCTTTGTCTCTCATTATACCAAGCTGACTGTCTTGTAGAGGTCCTCAACAACCCCGAGCTCGCCATCAAGCTCGCTACCCGTGCTGGTCTCCCCGGTGCCGACCACATGATCCAGCAGCAGTACCAGCTCTACATCCAACAAGGCCAATACGGCGAGGCCGCCAAGGTCGCCGCCAACTCTCCCCGCGGCCTCCTCCGTACTCCCCAGACCATCGAGGCCCTCAAAGCCCTCCCTGCGGTGCCCGGTACCCTCACCCCCATTCTCCAATACTTTGGTATCCTGCTCGAGAAGGGCGACTTGAACAAGCACGAGAGTTTGGAGTTGGCGCGACCGGTGATCCAGCAGGGAAAGAAGCAGCTCTTGGAAAAATGGTTGAAGGAGAACAAGCTCGAGTGTAGTGAGGAGCTCGGTGACCTCTGTCGTGCGGGAGACATGAACCTCGCCCTGAGCGTCTACCTCCGCGCGAACGTCCCCAACAAGGTCGTCGCTTGCTTTGCCGAGCTCGGCCAATTCGACAAGATCGTCCTCTACTCCAAAAAAGTCGGGTACAATCCCGACTACGCCCAATTGCTCCAACACCTCGTCCGTATCAACCCCGACAAGGGCGCCGAGTTTGCGACTCAGCTCGTCAATGACGAGAACGGCTCGCTCGTCGACTTGGACCGCATCATCGACATCTTCATGTCCCAGAACATGCTCCAGCAGGCTACCTCCATCCTCCTCGATGCGCTCAAGGACAACAAGCCTGAGCAGGGGCCTTTGCAGACGAGGTTGTTGGAGATGAACTTGGTCAGCGCGCCGCAGGTGGCGGATGCGATCCTCGGGAATGAGATGTTTACCCACTATGACCGTCCCAGAGTTGCCAACTTGGCTGAGAGGGCTGGTTTGATGCAGAGGGCTTTGGAGCACTATGAGGATATCGCGGATATCAAGAGGGTTGTCGTTCACACCAACCTCTTCAAGCCCGAGGTGCGTTCTCCTCTTTCCGGCTGTTGAATGCGGCTAATGAATAGCAGTGGCTCGTCGAATACTTTGGCAAGCTTACGGTCGAGCAATCCTTTGCTTGTATGCAAGAGATGCTTAGGAGCAACTTGAGGCAGAACTTGGCGATCGTTGTCCAGATCGCCACCAAGTACTCTGACTTGCTTGGTCCTGTCAAGTTGATCGAGATGTTTGAGCAGTTCAAGTCTTTCGACGGTACGTCCCGATCCCCTACTTTCAGAGCGCCGCGCTGATGGAGAGTAGGTCTTTACTACTACCTCGGCTCCATTGTCAACCTCTCCCAAGACAAGGAGGTCAACTTCAAGTACATCCAGGCTGCTACCCGTACCGGCCAGATCCGAGAGGTCGAGCGTATCGCCCGCGAGTCCAACTACTACGACCCCGAAAAGGTCAAGAACTTCCTCAAAGAAGCTCGGCTCGACGACCAGCTCCCCCTCATCATCGTTTGCGACAGATTCGACTTTGTCCACGACCTCGTTCTCTACCTCTACCAGAACGGTCTCACCAACTTTATTGAGATTTACGTCCAGCGTGTCAACGCTGCTCGTACGCCCCAGGTCATTGGTGGGCTGTTGGACGTTGACTGTGATGAGCAGGTGGTGAAGAACTTGCTGGGAAGCGTCACTGGCGAGTTCCCGATTGACGAGTTGGTGGACGAGGTTGAGAAGCGTAACCGCCTCAAGCTCATCCTCGGCTGGCTCAACAACAAGGTCGAGCAGGGTTCTCAGGACCACGCCGTCTACAACGCTATCGCCAAGATCTCTATCGACTCGAACAACAACCCCGAAAAGTTCTTGAAGGACAACAACCTGTACGACCCCGCCATCGTCGGCAAGTACTGCGAGAAGCGAGACCCGTACCTCGCGTACATTGCGTACGCCAAGGGGCTCTGTGATGATGAGCTCATCAACATCACGAACGAGAACCAGATGTACAAGCACCAGGCTCGATACCTTGTCAAGCGCAGGGATATCGATCTCTGGACTCAGGTCTTGAACCCCGAGTCCATCCACCGCCGAGCGCTCATCGACCAAGTCATCGCTACTGCCATCCCTGACTGTACCGACCCCGATGACGTTTCGGTCACCGTCAAGGCCTTCATGCACATGGAGCTTCACGGTCCCCTCCTCGAGTTGCTCGAGAAGATCATCATCGACCCCTCTCCCTTCAGCGACAACCGCTCGCTCCAGTCTCTCATGTTCTTGACGGCTATCAAGAACGACAAGGGCAAGGTTATGGGTTACATCAACAAGCTCGAGGGGTACGACGTCGACACTATTGCCAAGGTCGCGACCGAGTCTGGTCTCTACGAAGAGGCGTTCACCATCTACCAGAAGCACCAGAACCACGCCGAGGCTATGAGCGTCCTCGTCGAGCACATGGCTTCTATCGACCGTGGTTTCGCGTATGCCAACAAGATCAACGAGCCTGCTGTCTGGTCTAGGCTTGGTAAAGCGCAGTTGGACGGTCTGAGAGTGAAGGAGGCTATCGACTCATATGTCAAGGCGGACGACCCCTCCAACTTTGAGGAGGTCATCGAGATTTCCAACCGAGCTGGCAAGCACGACGACCTCGTCCGATTCTTGCAGATGGCTCGAGAGACTGCTCGCGAGCCCAAGATCGACACTGAGCTTGCCTATGCCTACGCCAAGACCTCTCGTCTCCACGACATGGAAGAGTTCCTTGCCATGACCAACGTCGCCGACATTCTCCAGGTCGGTGAAAAGTGTTTCAACGACGAGCTCTACCAGGCTTCCAAGCTGCTCTTTGGTAGTATCTCCAACTGGGCTAGGTTGGCGACTACTTTGATCTATTTGGGAGAGAATCAGGCGGCTGTTGATGCTGCTAGAAAGGCGGGCAATACTCAGGTGTGGAAGCAGGTCAATGCTGCTTGTGTGGACAAGAAGGAGTTTAGGCTGGCGCAGATTTGTGGTTTGAACCTTGTTGTGAGTATGACCTGTCTGTGCTATAGGCGATGCTGATAATGTATAGGTTCACGCCGAAGAACTCCCCGCTCTTCTGAGCTTGTACGAGAGGAACGGCTACTTTGATGAGATCATCAGTCTGATGGAGGCTGGTTTGGGTTTGGAGAGAGCTCACATGGTACGTTCTCACGTTCGCGTTGATACCCAGACTAATGTATGTTACAGGGCATGTTCACCGAGCTCAGTGTCTTGTATGCCAAGTACCGACCCGAGAAGCTCATGGAGCACCTCAAGCTCTTCTGGCAGCGAGTCAACATCGTACGTCCCGTGTCACTCTCGTGAATTGATGCTGACTTTACCCACAGCCCAAGGTAATCAAGGCCACCAAAGAAGCGCACCTCTGGGCCGAACTCGTCTTCCTCTACATTGTTTACGACGAGCCCGATAATGCCTCCCTCACCATGATGGAGCGCATCTCCGACTGGGACCACGACCAGTTCAAAAAGGTCATTGTCAAGGTCGCCAACATGGAGATTGCCTACGCGGCTATTGATCACTACATCGCCGAACAGCCTACCCTCCTCCCCGACCTTCTGGCTGCCCTCACTCCCCGTCTCGACCACGCCAGGGCGATTCGCACCGTCTCCAAACAGGACAACCTTCCTCTAGCCAAGCCCTACCTCATCGCTACTCAAAAACTCAACCTTTCTGTTATCAACGAGGCATACAACGACTTGTTGATCGAGGAGGAAGACCATGTGACGTTGAGGAGCAGCTTGGAGACGCACGATCAGTACGATGCCATCAAACTTGCCAAGAGGTTGGAGAAGCACGAGCTGTTGGAGTTCAGGAGGATTGCTGCCTTGCTTTATCGAGTACGTCGCTCTTCAGCTTTTGTGCGACTTTGCTGACCCAATCACAGCTCAACGGTCTCTGGGACGACTCCTTGTCTCTCTCCAAGGCCGACAGATTATGGCGCGATGCTTTGGAGACTGCCGCCGCTAGCAAGGACATTGCCGTTGCCGAGGATTTGGCTGGCTACTTTGTCTCTATTGGAAACAAGGACGCTTTCGCTGCTCTCCTCTACGTGTGCTTCGAGTTTGTCAGGCCCGACTTTGTGGAAGAAATGGTGCGTCTATACCATGTCGAGATGAGTCAATACTAACACGCTTCCAGTCATGGCGATTCGGCCTCGGCGACTACGCCATGCCCTACAAGCTTCAACAACAGCGTGACCAATCTACCAAACTCGCCGCCCTCGAAAAGGAACTCAAGGAACTCAAGACCAAGTCTATCGAGAAGGAAGCGAAGGATGAGGAGCCAAGCTCTTTGATGGGAAGCGGATTGGGGGGAAGATTATTGATTGGTGGCCCTACGTGAGTAGTGTCGTCGTTTGAGAAGGAGTGGACGCTGATAAAGTGATAGTGGCGGACCTCCTCAGCCGTATATGAATGGTGGATTGATGGCTCAACCGACGGGTTTCTACTAGACCTATGACTTGGGTCTTGCCTCGTTGTAATATTCGTCCGGGCCTACGCCTCTCCCTCTTGGGCACTTGTTCCCTTTCTTTCACTCTTTTCTTCCCATTTGCTCTCTCTGTTATTATGTGTTACGAAAATCAAAATGCAAAGCTAGATATCAACGATTCTGGGTCTCAAGTCTGCGACTCATCAACGGCATGAGTCACTTCGCGTGGTCACATCTACGCATCGGGCATTTTTTATCCACACTCAGATGTCTATTCACTGGCGCGCCGAAAACTTCGTGGCAATGTTGTACCCTCCTTCCCCATACGACCACCCCGTCCAAATCCCATTGTTCTCATCAGCCGTATACGGAGCACCCCTCTGCCAGTCAAAGTCACACGTCAAATCCACATCCGCATGATTCGACGCCAAATCTGCCCTCAGCATACTATCAAGCTTGCTCTCCCTCCAGTCGTCCGTCTGGCGCCGGTAGATGACAGCAAGATCAGCATCGATTGAGGTCGCTTTCTGGGCAAAGGTGTTGGCGAGGGTGGTCATGGAGTCGTTCATGTATTGGGTGAATTCGGCTTCCTGGGCATCGATCTCGTCTTGCGTTCGTGGCTCGGCCATTTTTAAGTCTTATTGTGGGTTTGTGGTAATGCTAGAGCCCTTCCCAACATTTGGACTCATATAGTGGCCACCGAAAACAATTCCCACTGATCGGAAGCTGCATATACTCCGCGCGGACAGTGAATATCATGACCCGCTCATCGCAATATTCCCAAGACTTGAAAGGGATCAGCCAACGGAGGACTATCACCTCGTCGGTATTCCAATAATCATCTTCTCACAATGACTTCATTCATCATGCCTCCACAGTAGTCCAGTAGTCCAAGAAAGCCCGGGCAGCTCCAATCTCAACCCACGCGGATCCTGACGTATCCAGAGGTGGTAGGGTGTGATATATCGCCACAGGAGATCTCGGAGCGCGATGTGATGGAGACAGCAACAGTCAGCCAGAGCATAAAGCAGGAGAAGGAGACTCACCGATACCACAAAAAGAGGCCGGCTAAGAGCGCGACGATATTCGCGAGAGCTATATCCCGCGCCTGAGCTGTGCCAAATCTGGACATGGTATGATATAGGCCGACATGTACTGTGGATGGGAAAATCGAAAAAGATGGAGGAGATGAGGCCGACTCGCCGAGATAAGATAGCGCGTTGAGTGACCAGTGGGGCTGCAGTATTCACTGGCTGCAATAAACATCTATAGAGTGAACAGCAGCAGATAGAGTCTATGAGGCGGCCTCAAATCTTTTCCAGTGATGCAATCCTCATAGCCCGATTCCAATATTATCTTTCGCATTCATCTGCCCTCTTTCTGGGGAGTACGTCTCTAGTACACAATGAAACTTTCTTCGTCATCACTATCAGCGCCGGGATCCCCCGCATTCTCGTCATCAGGCTTCGAGTATCCATCAAGGACCGCCACTCGCGCATTAAGCCCAGCATCCCCCGTCCATCCTTGTGTCCTCGCCGGTCTCCACTCCCCTTCAGCTTTCTCTCCCACCACAGAGCCCGCTCCAGTACTCTCAAACATCATTATACTCCCTGCATCCCACCCCCGCTCGTAGACGACCTGTGCCATGACATCGTTAAGTATACTTGTCTTCTCCTCTGCTGATGCTGTGGGGTAACGTTGATTGATAGTGGCAGCTTTCTCGGTAGCCATCGAGTCTAGAGGGGCGTCTACATATCGCAAGCTGGGATTGGAGGCCACGGTCGGGGAACCGGCGGATGGTGTGGGTTCCTCGTGAATATCGCTTCGATCGCTGGCGTTGCTAAAGCTGTCTTCTTTGATGGACATGTTATTGACAATTGTAAAGCAGTATGGAGCTCGTAATGATGTATGAGCTAAACGGTTGGAAATCTTTGAGCTAGTATTTGTAGGCCGTACGGCGAACTTGTACATATCTTTGACATACTCCCTTGCATCAAAGGATGGTGTGTGACGTTTCCAAAGATACCGCAATATCATTGCAGCCTTTGTGATGAGACGCCGAGATGAATGTTCATGCTCAATCATCCAGAGCGTACAAAGGTAGTCGCAATTTCCAGATATTCGAGTAAGGAAGAAGGAAGAGAGAACAGAAATGACACGAGTCGAAAAAAAAACACTGCCGCATCATCAGACACGAGGATGTTGCCCAATCCTGGTGGCCAAGGATTCGACCATTGTCGTAGTCGTTATTGAGAAGAAGCACAATTCGCGAATGCAAGATTCAGAGGCATATCAGAAGGAACGTATACCTCGCCTTCGACGAGAAGAATGTATCGATGGTTACATGATGGTTGCGTTATATTATACGAAAGTTTTACACGGTGGGAACTCACACACTGCATCCTTTTTTGAGTCATGTAACCTTGAGAGGGATCTGATGAAAGCACCTGTACACTGCCTGGGAAACACTACATATTACCAGCTGCTGCGCCACCTACAAATACTGGCTCGAACCTTCCATCAATGCCCTTCTCCCAAATCCACCTTGAACCACCACCATGTCTCCACAAGACAACGTCAATGACCAAAGAAGTGAATTCACATCTTCCGCCACAGGCTCCACTGCCGCCTCGACCAGTGCTGCGACCCCCCCATCCCAGCAAGCAGCTTCTCTAGCCCAGATTATTTCCCGCGAAGCTGCCACCATCGAATTGACCCACCCCACAGCTTCCCACCAGGAAAAATCCAACATATTGAGGGACATGATGGGGGATATCTTCAAGGAGGCGGGTATCGAGGGAAGCTTCATGATGGTTACGCGTGTGAAAACGGGTACGGAGAGTATGGGGGATCGGGGTGCGCGACGGACCGAGGGGGGTGAAGAGGCGGCGTCTGCGTGGGCGCAGTCGGATACTTGGACAGGAGGTGGAGCTGTCAGAGCCCGCGTGAGCGCCTTTAATCCGTCTACCCGCCCTGTTGTGGTGGAGGAGGCAGAGGACGGAGAATCCGAGGAGGGGAAGAAGAACGAAGGGAGCTGATCCAGCTAGGCTAGGTTTTTCTGCTATATTCATAGTGTAAAGACGTGCGCTTAGCTGTTGATAATGTAATTGATCTCAAAGGATCGCTGGACATGCCTTGGGTACAAGGCGACTGCGGCTAGCTCTAGATTTGAGACCATATAGTGCATGCCTAGCCACCATATATACGGAATCCGCTGCCCCTTTTTCCGGGTGACGACGGCACTCAGTCATGCGGACGCTATAAACACCCCCAGCCTCTGTCACACTGCTCCTCCCAGATCCGGAAGATGTTGCTAGTACTCCTCCCCTTTTCCCCACCCTCAGCAGATCTTGGCCACATGCCTTCATCATCTTCAAACGCCACCCTGCGCTGCCATTCCATTTCCACTATCCTCTCCAAACCGTGCGAACAAAACCCTTTCTGCAGTATTCCATCCACAAGTCTGTCATTACCATGTCGGCTGAGACGAGATACGTCAATCGTCTCCGAGGCGAGTGCTGCTAATTCGTTGGTGAGCTCTGCCATCCCTGCAACGTCGGTGATGGCGAATGTATCATCGTTCACGGAGCAATCGGCCGTGGGAGTCGGCGTAGTAGGATCGAGATGCTGATTGTAATAGTGTCTCTCGGTAACAATACTGTATGCCAGTCATACGGAGAAAGTTCGAGGCTTCAGACCCTTTTTCAGACGATTGTAATCTACAAGAGATCTTAGAAGAGAGCTTAGAAACATTGGCTGGAGTGAATATTCAGGTAACTTCCGATGTGTCAGTCAAAAAGTGGAAACACTTAGACAATGCGCACCAGGGGAGCAGACAGAAAGCCAGAGATGTACAGTCGATTGACCGATGGAAACGTGTGAAACCCAGCGTCCCGTATAGAGATCGTAAATCAAAGGTCAAAGGATGTGTAACCATTGCGAAGAAGAGAGTTACAGGGTCTTACAAGACATGATTCTCGCTCTGGGTTGGCGTTATCGCAGGAAATCATCATCCTTGCAAGGCAAATGTAGGCTCTTGCTATTCAATTCAAGACTGGTAATGTACAGTACTCGTTACAAGAATGAAGAGGTGACAATGACGAGGCGACAAAGGGCAGACAAGAGGTCTACCGGATCGTTCACTTTGCAATGCCTAACTGGAGGAAAGATCGTGCGCTAAAGCGCCTTGTCATTCTATATACAGGATTGAGCACTTTAACCATCATCGAAAACAACTTCATATGATGAGTCCGATACTCGTACTGTACTATCCCCTTCTCATAGACGGCGCTCAATTATACGGACGCTCATGGCATCTCTCCAAGCGGTTGCCTCGCTCCTCCCCGTCCATGAGCCTCGAGGGGTACTGCTTGCTCCCTCTGCCCCACCTTCAGTCGCCGCTGCAATGCCTTCCCCATCCTCAAATGTCTCCCCACGCTTCCATTCAACCTCTACCATCCTATCCAAACCATACGTAGAAAGCTGTTTTTCCAGTATTCCATCTACAAGCCGATCTCTATATTCCCCTGTCAAACCCGAAACTTGGGCATGGAAACTCGTGTTAGCGGCCAGTTCTGCCAGCTGGTTTGCGACCTGATTTGCGACCGTGGTCATCCCTGTATCGTCTGAGATGGCTGACGGGACAGCCGTGGAGGAATCGGCCGTCGGGGAAGGCGTGGAATTGCGTCTCTCTTCTGGAGATGACATGGTAATGGTGGGATCTTGATGTGCCTCTCTGTGGTTGAGGTGTGGTGATAGTGAAGTCTCTCCACGGTGAAAGTAGACTTGTCGCGGTCACTGAGGTTTGGCACTTTATACGAGTTCCATTGGAAATACAAATCGCCAGATCCTTTCTTGAACGATTGTGATGGACAAAAAGTCTTGGCTAATGTATAGAATTCACATAGCGTAGATGCGACCAAAGGAAAACGTGAAAGGCTTCGATAGCGGAGATTGCGTAGGTGAAAGATGATATGAAGAGTACAACGAAGAAGACTGCGGCTTCCTATCTGGGCGTTGACGTGACTTATTCAGTCATCCTCCTTGCAAGGGAGATTCTGGCGACTTGAGTTCTTCCATTCAAGACGAGTATGCAGTACGCGCGTCACCGTCGGCGTGTGCACTCCTGGAGTCAGTAACTACTACATAGAGAGATGCTCGATCTTCAACCTGTGCTGGGTGACTGGCCGGTTAGTCATCAAACTTCGAGGAAAGGTGCTACGCGTGAATGAGCATCGGTGTCTGTCTTCTGATTTGGATTCGGGCTGCATAGGAGATTATGGATACTAACTGGTGAGAGCGTGCATATATGTGGTAACAGTTAGTCTCTCTGCATACCCAAAGATATTTTTTTCGGATGATAGTCGCAGAACGGAAGAGACGACAGGGGGACAAGAAGAGGAAATGCGGACTGTTCGCCATGCCTGATTGTGATGGTCATACGTTGCCATTTGCGAGCTCATTCTAATCATGTGATAGGGCAGTTGGGTTGAAGAGCTGAGGATGCGACCCATCTTCCATCTAGAACAAACAACAGACAAGTCTGCCAGCGCACGCCTGTCATCCATTCACCTCTGAACACTGATCTTCCGCGACTACATAGCGATGCCTCTGTGACCATTGATCCCCTCCCAGCCGATCGCCAGCTCTCTGCATGTTGATGAATTGAGAGCGATAAGATTAACGGCCGCTTCCAAAGCTTCCACCCCAGGGGCAAGTCACTCGGGGAGTCGGGGCAGTTTTATCCGAACTTCCGCGGGGGGAAGATAGGACCCACGTGGTGCCGCCGAAGCGATCAGCGAAAACGCGGCATGCAGAATGTTGCATTGATTATTGAATCATTGAGCTATGAGTTTGAATGGCGATGTTGAAAATTCGATGCATACATACCCATCGCGCTGTCAACACCACAGATCCGCAATACCCAGGAGTTTCCATATGTGGCGCTCGTCGGGATGACCGGGAGACCTTCAATCAGAAAAAATGCAGCAAGCAGCGCAACTGGATGCTTAAATTTTTGCACCTTTTCCACCCGGGTTCCGGTATATATGCCGAGTACCGAGTGACCCGGGCCCAGGGCCCCGAGGTAGCCGTTAACCGGGGATTATTTTCGAGTGGCTCTTTACGAATTTACACCTCCTGCTGGTCAAAAGGTCGTTTTGTCTGGGTTGCGTAGCATATGAAAGCAACCGAAAATCCCAGGCATGCCACGCAGTCAGAGTGCATCGATTTCTTATTGTTTTCGTCGATCTTGTCTGAGCTTTCAGGTGGTGCAGCCTGCGGCCTGCAGGGATTAAAAACAGGCGAGACATTTGTATTTGTACACGCCCTTCTAAGCGCCTAATACGGTTTTGCATGCTGCGAAGAAGCGCTTTTACTCTGACGTCCGAGGTTGGATAATACCTTCACGTTCTTACTATTGAAGGAGTACGATATCGCGTCGTACTGGACGATTTGAAACATGCGACAAGAAGAAGCAAAGGGCTACCCAATAGATACCCCGAGCCAACATGGATGTCATCGAACGCGCGGCGGAAGAGAAAGATCCTAGAAGGAAGAATCATTCAACGTCGTCACAAAAGCTTTGTCCCCCAAGGCTCGTCTCTTCCACCCCACTGTCCCTCTCGCTGTTCATCCTTCCACTAGCGCAGAAGCCTTTACACCATGCCTTGAGCATGCTTCATCAATAAGTGTGCCCAGAGCGCCACCGCGCGCCCCTCGTCTCTGTCCACTAGAATCGGTACTCAACGATGGGACCGAAACGTTGAGGCCTCGCGGATGATGATGATCATGAGTCATGAGCAATCAGGTGGCTCATGTTGATTGAACACATGATTCCTTACCTCCTGCATTCTTGATGGGATACCGGCTGATGATAAATCATGAGATGATGGATGTTGTACATATGGTTAGCATCCGCAAGGAGGGGGCCGGATGTCCCGGATGATCTGCAGAAAGGTCCATCAATCGATCATCAAACCTTCGTACTCGATCAAAAATATCACGCAGACAGACTCCTCAGTCAATGCAACCCACCTCAGCGACGACCACGACTGCGTTCGTGTCGCGTGAGAACAAGACCGGAGTGGGGGCTTGGGAATTGGGAATTGGGGAGACAGCATGTATCCGTCCGTTTTCATCACCGCACGTACCTCACCCCTCTTCCCCAGGATCCACAGCTACGTAGTAAGAACCCGAAGTCTTGATCCCGGGGCCTTGGAGACCAAAAAAAAGCCTCAAAGGATACGACACGACATCAACAAGGAATGAACGCAATGGGAAAAAGCCGAAAAGCAGCATGCCGATGCCGCTGATGCTCCGTGTGGGTGTGTAGACAAGAAGGTTCAGGTGGGGGTACATACGCAGAGCACACGAGGCGACATTGAGATGATCGATCACTCAAAGGTGGGTATGTGCTCCTTACATACGGGGCTTTGACATCGGACGATGGTCGTCGGTCGTCGGGGTTGGGCCTGTCGGAAGACCGAAGTGGTCGACATGAGACCTTCTCTTCGCATGATACAAAATACATTACATGAGTATCCTGTCTGACCAGAGTAAAGTCTGGTTATATTGCTATGCAAAATACTGCCAGGCGGCGTTTGAAAAGTCTTCGTGACGACACAGACCAAGCACACCCTCGTCCACTTTTTCTTCGAATACCGTCATCATAATACTCGCCGTTGGACAGCAAGCTAGACAAATCACAAAAACCCCATCTTCCTCTTCCAACCGCTTGGCAGATGGAAGATGAAAGTTCAATCTAGTATATGCAGATGAGCAATAAAACATAATGTGGGTTTCTCTTATGACGTCCATTCGGTATCCGGTATTCGGTACGATGCCGTCAGTATTACCAGGAGTATTTCACTACATGTCAATTCTCGGAAGTTAAGTTTGGAGGGGCTTACGGGAGATGAGGGCACAAGCTACGCAGTACGTACGCAGGTTCATAGACTCATTCGGCAAATAGGCGTTTCTTTACTGGAATATCGTTGACAGCAAATACAATCGATGCTTTTTTTTTTACATATATATTGCTGTTGATTGACAGACAGTTCATGGTTGATAATTGGAAGACGGAGCGACCTAAAAGCAGCCAAGCAATGGGGCTGACAAGAAACAAGAAACAAGTGGTAGTACACTACTGTAATAATAAATCAACGTGCACCACCTGCTGCTCGGTGCTCATAGAGTCATAGACCGGAGCGGAAAGGGGAAGCGACAAGAGCAGCGGAAGCGGAAGCGGAAGCGGGGAGCAGAAGACGCAGCATGGAAACAAGAAGGAGAAGACGATGATTTGACGTGATTGGCGTGATTTACGTACGGTCTACGGACGTGCAACGAGCTAGCGAGGACTGCTGGAATGGCACTTACATATCCGATTAGAAAAATATCCAATACGTAACTTGGACACTATAAGCAGTAAGCACACTTGGCAGTTGGCACGGAAGGAAGCCATGTACATAAAAGGATAAAAGTACATAGCATAAAGAAGGAAGGAGGGGAAAAGTAGGTGAGTTGAGGAGACTTGACGTTGTCCAAATGGACACCGCGTGCTAACAGCTATGTACGTACAGTTTAGCTGCGAGCTGCTGAACAGTCACCAACTGGATTTGCACGTTACGGCCACATCCCCCCACTACATTATTATTATCAAGCAACCACTGCAAAGCGCCCAAATACGTACCAAACCACCTAAATTCTACATACTGTACGCGCTATCGATCGCGTCTTCGGACTCGCGACGCTGATCCTATGTACATACTATGTATGGGGATTAACGTCCCTAACGTCCCTATACTGTATGGCTTTTTGATTTGATCTCGCAAAATTGGTTTGTGCGAGAAGTAGAACTGACAACGACAACGACAACGACAACCAAAAGGGGACACGTATCCGGGGTGACCAACTGCTTACTGCTTACTGCTTACTGCTTACTGCTTACTGCTTACTGCTTACTGCTGACTGCTCAGATCAACCCTCCTTCCGCCGGTTCGCCGGTCGTCGGTTCGTCGGTCACTCGGCCAAGAGCCCTGTGATCTGTGATATGGTTCCGAATGTGACGACTGACGAGGGGGACACCGGGTGTGCAAACGCGTGGGTTAGTTACTTGTGGTGTATGTACACGAGGGACGGAAGGAGGGAAGGATGGGGGGGAACTTGCCTCAGGCGCCAGGCGCCAGGCGCCAGGAGGCGAAAGCCAGGTGTCAGACGGAAGCGGGGCCGGAAGCGGAAGGAGTCACTCGTTGGAGTCGTTGGAGGGCTTTGCATACATACGCGGGACACTCGCAATCCGTGTCTACTCCATTGGCGCTATATCGTGTCACTTTCCGGCTGTGGAGGGGGAAGAAGAGAGAGGGGCAGGGGACGGGCCCACTACTGGAACTTGTATCTGACTTGTATGCACCTTTGATGCAAGGCGTACGCCTCCCCTTTTTTCCGATAACAGGCTAGTCACCCCGCTGGCGACTTGTCAAAACCAGTCTTGAGATCCCGCCGTGCCCAATTAACGCGGGTGGGGTGCCAGCCCAAACCTGCCCCAGGCTGACAGCGGGTTCCAGGGTCCAGTGGTGCAAGAGCCCAAGATGCAAAAAATTCCGAAAAATTAGCCTGGCATGAATGGTTGGGTTGTAACCCCTGAAAAGACTGAGAAATCAAAAAGCAGCAGCCAGGGCGGCGGGCTACCCTGAGGGCTGAGGTGCAGGGGCGGCGGGGTGACAGCAGGTCGGCGAGACAAATACAAATCATGGAACCACCGCTCGTGCGAAATCTCTACAAATACCTTGAGCTCTCTGCGGTGGATGGATCTCTCCTCGTAAAGTACTGTCACCCACACGCACACCCCGTGATCCCCGATCGCCAGCACAGAGAGGTATATACCCCCCGGCTTGCTTGCTTGCCACTCACCCGCACGCAGCATGTACCACCCCTTCCCCACCCCGCCCACCCCCGGCACCGCCAGAGACCACTACTCCTTCCCCCCGGCCCACATCCCCCACCTCCACCACCCCGTCCACCCCATCCACCACCCGCCGCCCCCGCCCGTCCGCCAGTCCTCCTCCAACTCCCAGTCCGCCAGCTCCAGCCGCCGCGGCAGCCACGCCCAGGGCCAGTACTCGGACTCGGAGAGCGACGGCGAGGACGACAAGGTCGAGCGCGACAAGCTCGAGATTCGGCGAGAGAAGAACAGGGTCAAGCAGCGCAACCTTCGCCGTAAGTCTCTCTTCTCTCTTCTGGACAAGGCCGTCGCTGATCGTTATGTGGCAGTGCGACGGGCAAACCACATTGCAGACCTCGAACGCGACGTCTCCACCCTCAAATCCGAATCCTCCTCCCTCTCCAACGCCCTCTCCCTCGCCCATGCCCGAGAAGCGAGTCTCCAAGGGTGGATCCATGATCTCGAAAGCGTCTTGTTTAGGAACGGCCTCGCAGCCGACGTCGAGGGTATGCGCAGAGTGTGGGCAGAGCGCGGTGCTGGATCCGCTGGGGCTGTCCCCGGCGTCGGCCCAGGTGCAGGAAGCAGGAGAGGCAGTCTGTACCCCCCAGCAGTCGGCACCGGCGTCAACGGCGACCCATTGTCAACCCTTGCCCGAGCAGCCTCTCAACAAACCCCAACCTACCCTCACCCCCATCGCCACCCCCACCCCCACAGCCACAGCCAACACTCCCAACACTCCCACCACGCCCACCACCCCCACGGCGGCCACCCCACCATGCAAATGCCCGACCGACCCACCCTGCCAAGACCGGGCTCCTTCTCAAAACCGTACGACAACCCTTACCCCACCCCCGACGTCGTCTGGCCGCCCAGCCGCGAGCCCGACATGTCCCTCGGCGCCGGCTCAAGCCTGAGCGCCGGCTCCGCCAACGCTCCAGCGCCCGGGGAGGGCGGTAAAAGGAAAAGAGGCAACGACTGGGAGCCTTACGGCCTCGCCGGCCCCGGCGCCATGCCCCCTTCCGCCTCTTCCTCTGCCTCCGCCCAAAACCCCAACCAACCCCGCTCCGCCTCCTTCTCCCACCACTCTTCCCAGGGCCAACCAGGCCAGCAAGCCATGGCCGGCTCCGGCATGTCTCGCCGCTCAGACCCTTCGCTCAACACCCTCCCGCCCATCCATGCGCTCCCAGATGCCAATGCCCCGGGGGGTAGCCCCACCTCTACCGGTTCTGCCGCGGCGGCGGCGGGGTCGTTCTTCCCCCCGGGCGCTTCTGCCTCCCATTCCACTGGCGCGCCCTCGGACGAGAGGGGCACACAAGGGCAGGGCGAAGGCAAAGTGTCGCCTCGGTTGATCCGCATAAGCGACCTCGTCTCGCCTTCCCACGCCGGGGAGACCTTCTGGGGGCACGGAGAGATCAAGAGGGAGAGTATCGGTCTTTCTGTACGTCACCCCCTCCGCTTTGGAGAGTGTGGAGAGCTAACGAGATGTGATTTAGCCGAAACAAATCCCAACGGACCCTCTCCGCCTTCCTCCCTTCCGCCTTCAAGGATCAACATCTTCCACAGCGTCCACGGCTTCTTCAGCGCCAGGAGGGCATGGGGGACACGAGTTGCCGACGCCTTTATCTGAGATGAGGGCGTAAGTATTTACTTTTTTTTTTCATTCTTCTCTGCCGTGCTTTGTTGGTTTCGCTTTTTTGTGGTTTTGGTTTTCATCTGGGTGTAGGTCGGGGGGAGTCGTCGTCCATAGATGTGTCATTTTCGTGAATATACTCTTTTTCTTCTCACTTGTCTCTCTTTCTCTCCTCTCTCTTGTTTCATCTTACACGTCACTTTGTAGCAACAGTCCAATCATCTTTCACCAACCAACCAACCCCCTTACACCTTTTCACCATCCCTTGACGTACATTCTCATTTCTCTCTTCATTAGGTTTCCTTGCTTTCTCGGTCGGTCTTTTTTCCCTTACAAGTTTACTCTTGGTTCTTCCTTTTCCTTTTCAAATTACAAGTACCACCAAATCCAGTTCTTTTTACTTTTGTGTCTTTTCATTCTCCCGGCCACTTCATCGCGTTTGACTCGATACGATAGAGTAGAGTACAATTATACATGTGCATAGTTTTTTTTTGTTTTTCTCTCTGTCCCCCTCCTCATCTTTTGGGAAGAATGAATGAATTGAAGAAGAATTGCAAAAGTAGAAGTACAAGAAATCATCCCACATACCACATACCGCATACGCACAAGTACAGTCTATGCCTTTAACGCTTCGCCTCGCCTTTGCCTCCACACACTCGACCCATCTTGTCGTCAAGCCGTTAAGACCTCGGAACACTAAAAAAGTTCTTTTGCTTCTTACGACCTGTTTTACGTACGTACCAGAATACCAGCATCGTTCTCGTTCTCGTTCTCGTCAGAGGTGAGTGAGAGGTGAGTCACATTTCCTACACATACATACATACTCTAGAGTACCTTACGTTTTCTATTCTCCGCTTTTTCGCTTTTCCTTTGATTTCTTTTTTCTTTTTTTTGGGGGGCGATTGGCGATTGGCGACAGAGTGTGGGGAGTGGGGAGTGGGGAGTGGGGAATGGGGAATGAAGGGCAAGGTGAGTGGGGCAAGGTGAGTTATACCCTCGTCAGCGTCAGCGTCAGCGTCAGCGTTGGGAGTGCTGAGGCCTGGCTGGACGTGGTTCAGTCACTCCACCTTCTGCTGGACCCCCATAGGTCATACGTACAATTATGCCCAGTGACAGGAGGATGGAGGATTCCCCCCCTTTCTGTACGCTATCTGGTATCTGATATGCATGTGGATTGTGGACTATCACCAGCCATATCCGTGCGTGTACATACTTTATATAAAATACGTTACGTTACTTGGTGCAAAAAAAAATGAATACGAAAAAAGATAAGATAACACACGACCCCGGGATGTCACCTACCACACATGATGAGGGAGGGGAGGGTGGCTAATTGCTAAAATCGACCATCGACCATCGACCATCGACCATCGAGTCGCAATTGAGATGCGAGCGAGGAAACACCGAACCCTCGGTGGTCGTCGATAAGATAAGTAGCGCGCGACTTGTCCGATTCTTTTGCTTATCTAGGGGCCTGAGAGAAGCTATCATGTAAAGCTAAATACGAATGGAAGAAGGATGAGCGGTAATAAGGTGATGGAGGCACTGGAGTTATTGGATGGGGGGGGGGGGGGATAGACTGTAGATCTTTGGTCTGGGATCTCTTTGGTGGAGCATATGGGCGTTATTCGTCGTCTTCAATAGTAGCGTGCTATAGGTAAGGCAGGGGCGGGGTTGAGGAAACTTGACCCCGTTGGATTTCACATATACCCCCACACTCCCTCGGTCTTCCCCCGCTCTGTGTCGCCATGTCAAGTTCCAGCATCAGTTCTCTGCAAATTCAGCATCAGTTCTCTGCAAATCTCCATGCCAGACATGCAGAAGGGAGTACAAATTGAGGCACCTTCTCCCCTTCCCTCCCCCCCTTGATCCTTTCTCCCTTATACAAATTGAGCTGTGAGACAGTCGAGACAACTGCCAGGTACCCTCGGGACTCATACCCGGGAACAAGGGACGACGAGGGCTGGAAGGATGCGGGATGAGGGACGGACATCGAGGAACGGATCAAGGGTCAGCAAAAAGGAAATTTGATTTCCGAGGGTCAAGGGTTGTTCCGCGATTGTTCCGGGAGGAGGGAGTGGAGACTTTTTGGAGAGTGGATGATGTTGGCTGATGGCTGGTGGCTGATGCGAGATGTTGGGGGATTGTGCAGGATTCGCAAGCCTGGTAAACTGGACGCTGACGGATGGGTGGTGCACTCAGCGGCAGGTCATGCGCCCGCAACAAGAACAACAGCCCGGTAACAGGCCACAGGATAGGGTGTAGAGCTTTTTAGGCGCTAAAAGGAAGATCTGTTTTGTATGTACGCAGCAGGGACAGGAGTGACAGTTTTGAATGTTGGGTAGTTTATTACGGCTGTAGGCTGACGGTTCGTGAGTTCGTGACAGCCTGGCAGATCCTTTCGTACGTATGTATGCCACTCTTGTGCCTTGCTTGTAACGTATGCACGCAATCATCTGTTGTATCGTGGATATCTGCAGAAAAGCCAGGTACATGGCAAGTAGGGTAGATGCGTCTCCCACTCCAAGGCGCAGACGGGACAGCTAATGAATTGCTCCAACACGGCACCCTTCTTGTTGCCTTGGCTGTCTCGATGCTGCCATCGTGTTGCACGCTGCCATCGCTGCCATCGCTGCCAATCGCTGTGCGTTGTGTTTTGCCGAGTTTCGGATGAATAGATAGATGATTACAAGGTGCAATTTGCCGAAAGGCACGAATTCGTCTTAATTCTCTTATTATACTTGTACATCTGGTTCATCTGCTTGCGGCTTGCGATGGCGATCTTCGAGATCGCCTGCGGAGTCGACTAATTATAGAAGGCAAAGGGTAAGTATAAAATAGAAGAAGTGATCAGAAGGTTGCGAAAGCGAGAGTCGCGCTTGGTATGGACTCGTGCTCGTTGGAATTGCCGTATGCAGCCCCCTTGCGCACTCCGAGGTATTAGATATTCCCCCCTCCAGAACTCTTCTTACCCAAGGCAACAAACAACACGGGAGAAGCACTTCCCACGCTTCCCACAATTCCCATTTCCCATGCTAAAAAGCTACCATGTAAAACTGTATGTATCCTTGTCTCAGGAAGCAAATGCAATTCCAGCAAAAATGATGTTTCGCACTGCGTCACCCAAGAGTCGGAACCCGGAATCCGGAATCCGCATAACTCATTAGAAGGAATTTTTTCTATTTGTATTCGTTGTTCTTGTCTCGGACCATGTCCATTCAGGCCAGTTAGAGCCTCTTTGAGTTTTCGTGGTCAATGACCCCCCCCCCCCCCCCCTTCTCTCGGCCCCTTGGCCCCTGATGAGCCCCTGCTTTGATCCCCTTCGCGTCGAGGTTCGGCGCGCGCGGCACGTCGCTTGGAAATCTGACATGAACAAGGTTTGGGAACATCTACTAGGTAGTGGTTTGTGGTCTATCCTCTGATTTTCGGGCCCAGAAAAAGTATAGCACAAATATGCGCAGCTATGGAAGCAAGAACTTTTGGCAGAAAAAGCATATGTGTCACGTAATGTATGTTGAAAACTTGGAAAAGGGGTGACTGGCCATTGGCCTGAGACCTGAGGCTTCCCGAGGGCGACAGACGGCAGACTGTGGTGATTGTACCTCCACTCGTGGCACATACCCCCATTCATATGCACTTTACAGTTTACATAGCATAGGACGGACGGGTACCCAAGAGGGCATATGTACCTTGGACGTGATCCGTCTCAGCAACGCCTCCGTACATTGAAGGACTGTGACAAATTGAGGCCGTGTCTCGGATGGCAATTTAGAAGAGATGAAAAGGCTTTCCCTCTCACCTCACGCGCCTCTGAAACTCGTGGGCCTGGGGCCTAGATCATAGAGTATGAGAGGAGTCAGGCGAGAGGCGACAGGCGAACAAGCCCCTGAGAAGCTGGAGACAGGAAACTGATGAACGATCAGCAGCCGTCCATCTCTTGTATCAAAATAAGCGCTGTACTCGTCGTCGAAACCCTGTCAATTGCGTAAAACAGCTTTTAATTGCAGACCTTGCAGAATTGTAGGATTTGTGGAAAGTTGGTGGGAATCCGGACTCAGGGCCCACGTGGTGCGCGCGAGATCCGAGATACAAGGAAGCCATGGAGGAGTACGCACTACAATCTTTCATCATTTTTTATGCCGGTGACAGCCCACTGGTCACTGCGAAAATCAGACATACTCTACTGAAGATGCCTCGTACGTACGCCTCCTCGGCTTTCCTTCCTCACAGGTAAATGGTTGTCTCTTCTTCTGCTTCCTTATTTACTTACAGCGGTACCAGTACTACCAAGCCCCCCAGGCCTTTCTGCCCCTTGGATCAAATGCATAAGATAAACTTCCTCAGGTGATTAATGATAATGTGGGAGTGGTGATTACCCCTGCATTCTCGGTAGGTCGCCTGGGAGGCTTGGGAGATTCCAGACAAGAGACCCGATACGATGGACGCGTGCTCGCGCGGCTGGTGTCGTTCAACATCATCATCATAATCTTCCGAGAATGACTGCTGACCCGGCGTAGACTCCGAAAAGTAGTCAGGTAGCAGATAGCCGTTGGCCAGTGGCGTTACAGCGCTATTTATCTTATCAGTTTCCAGCTGCCCGGGGCATGCGAGACCTTGGCGCAGGAGTGCTCTAGTGGCTCGAGTACCGGTGAATGGGCAGGCTTGTTAGTAGGATATGTCCCACACGTCACATGCCACCGTAGATTTATAGCCCAAAGTTCTTGAAGGCGCCGACCGAGGGATATCTAGCGTCGGTTGATCGAAGGTTGGAGGAAATTTGTAGACGTGCTCGGAGAAAACGTCTGCCCGAGGCCGGCGCTGTCAGAAATGAGATAATGCGTCAGCTCAACTTTGCTACAGGCTATCGCCTTTAGAAGCAATGCCTTCGCCGGAGCTGGGCTGCCCGCTTACCCTGCTCCTACCTTCATCTTCGGGCTCGGAGCTGGAGCTGCGCGCATGGTACTACAAGGAGTCGTCGCGGCCCGCCTAGTCAAAACTCTCGCGGATGGTTCACCACGTCCTCTGGCGTTCGTTACCTCAGCCTGACTAGACTCGTTAAGCAGCCGGAACCATGTGCGAGCGCATATGGGCAGCATCTTCGAAGCCTAGCTTGATGGGAGGCTTTGGGCGAGATGGTCCGCCCGAATCTACGCAGGCGAGAGTAGTACGACGCCACAGGTCACGATCATTTAACATTTACCTCATCCAAGAGCTTGAGGGGAGGGGTATACGCCAGCATCGAATCTGCATGTTACACGAGAATCCAGCTGACTTCTTGAGGACCGCTTCGTGATTTTACTTGATGGATAGGACTAATGAATATCGAAATCTTCGGGCGCGGTTATCTCAAGGTAGCATCTTCCGTACTGGTATCACTTGGCAGGCTTGAGGATGACCCACGAGCTGTTGAGTTGTGTGCAATGGAAGCCACCAACACAATGCTCTGAATGCCCCAAAGAGGCAAGTTGGCGGTTTAAGATATATTCATATTTTTGTTGGCGGTTTTAGATATTCCAAAGTGAAAGTTGGCGGTTTAAGATATTTTCTCTTATGGGAAAGTTCCCAGACTACCCTTTCTTTGATTTGATCGGTTGTGAAGAGGTCAATGCTGGTGTTTAGATGATATGGGGACTGTTGAGGGAGCGCAATACCCCTTGGGATATTCAACTATCGGATACTCAGCCTTTGCGTAGCTACAAATACCAGGTCAAACCTGTTCTTGAAACCCGAACTTCACCACAAATCAATCATCTAATACCTGCTGATATTACTAGCAACTTCGTCCTCTCTTAATATCTGGGACTACTACTACCACACCTTGTGGGTGTACACTTCTTCTCCCACGAGTTGTACACCCAAGTGTATCGAGAGAATCTTCACAGAGCCTCATTTATCCAGGTTGAATTGTACGTAAAAGACTTCGTGTCATAAAGTACTTTCGAGACGAGGCTACTTTCATGAAGGACTAAAGAAGAGGAGTCAATTACGCTCTGTCTCTCTTCCCGTCGTCTACTTATTGGGCTTGAAGACACCGTCACTAGCTCAATTTCATCTCGCAATTCTTACCACCAACGTATTTTACAAGCTTCACTTGCATCATGTCAAGCAGAGACAACGTCAGTAGCCAGAGCTATGCCGACGAGTCTACACCATCTGCCAACGTCAGATCTGACTCATCCCTCACGCACGATGCTAGCATGCGATCCGTGGCCTCCTCCCTTGCCCAGATCGCCTCCGAGAGGATAACCACTATCAACCACGATCACCCCATAGCTACCGATAGAGAAAAGGCCGAAATGCTGAGTGCGTTTATGAAGACTCTCATCAGGACCTCGGGATGGGGAGAGAGCATGCTTCTGGCTGTGAGCGTCGGGATAGAAGCTGTCGAAGGAGGGGGAGGAGTGGCTGTACACGAGGGATGAAGAGTGTACAGGGCCGGGGGGGTCCTGGAATCACCGTACGTGCGACAGTAGTCGATGTTTTGCGTTTGAGGCCTGTAACCGAGGATCGGATGGATGTGCGAGCTAAACTATACATACATATGCATGGGTACTCTGCAGTAATCGATATAACGATGGGCCCCATAGAGGAGATTGTCGAGAGAAAGAGGAAAGGGGTCATGGGCCAAGTGGATGATGACGGGACAGGGTTGTTGTTTGTGAAGACCAAAGAGAAATATTTGTCGAGATGTGATGCTGCATTTGGTCAGTGATCTCTTCCGGCTTCCCAAGTCCCCGAGACTGGGCGTACCTCCTGTATGTGCGATACCCCCTACCAACTCCACCTCCTCTCTCCCAACTCCTTCACTGCCTTCACATCAAACTCTTCCAGCACCATTCTCCCATCCCTCACCAGCGCGTCCACCACTTGTCTGCCTTCTTCAGGCATGTGTATGAAGACTTGGTCGAATAAGGGAAAGTGGATTTCAACTCGATCGAGGGGTTTCGATTCCTCATGTGCATCGTCCTCGTCACTCTCATCATCCTCGCTGCCCTCATCGTCTTCGTCGCTCTCCTCGATTTCGTAGTGGTCAAAGCCTTCGCTTTCGTCGGCACTGCGCTCGCTTTCGTCGCCTCCCTCGCTGTTTCCATCGCTTTTGCCATCATCATCGCCTCCGCTGTCCTTTTTGTCTCCGCTGCCATCATTGTCCTCTTCGTCATCCTCGCTGTCCTCGTCTTTGCAATGATCGTTTTCCAGCTCCCACCCTCTTCGAGACTCGATGCGTGACGTAAGATTTTCGGCATATCCCACCAGTGCCAGCGCCATGGTGATGGTGTACTCGTGCAGCTCGTAGTCATTGAGTGTCTCCCAGGGCTGTCGGGCCCCAACAAAGACGCGGAGACGCTCGCCGTTGGGCCATGCAGTATGCAGTTGTTCGCCGATCCGTCCGAAGCTCGCTCTTCCCACCCTCGTCCCATCGGAAGACACCACGAGCTCCTCGCTGTTGGGGACCTCGCCTTTGAGCAAGATGACTGCTTCTCGAGAATTCAGATAAAGGAGATGCGTGTCGACCTGGTGCCAGTAGTCGACTCCATATTCGTCCAAATGAAAGATGGTCCCCTTCAGATCTGCTGGAGTCTGAAATCCGATCCGACCCACAAGGTCAATTTCGAGGTCAGGCCGATCTCGTTTGAGGTAATAGGTACGTGATGCCTGCAGGGCAGAAAAGCCGATTTCGACGCGTTCGAGAAATCTAAATAGATGGAAATAGCGGCGAGGGTAGATCGTTGAAATATACCCGCTAGATGAACAACAAGCAGAAGGGTTTTTGGCACAAGAGTGACAAACCCTTGTGTACTCTCGGCCACCGAGTTCGAAGAGGGTATCGATACTCGTAGAGCCGCCTATGCTCAGGGCCTTCGTGCTTGCGAGAGCATCCCGTGTCCTCTCATATCCCTGCTCGAGCTCCAAGCCTCTGAAGACTTCTGGCGAGGAGTGGATCGTTCGATAGAGCACCGGGATGACGCGTTTGTAGCATAGACGGCTGAGGGTGAGGACGGAGAGCGGGTCGGAGACGACGAGTTCGTCGAGGATGATATGGTGGACCGGGGTGAGGGCAGCGAAGCTGGAGGGGGTGATGGTGGACATGGCGACGGGAGGTGAGTGATATAAGATGCAGCTCAGCCCATATGGGAACGTTGAAGAAAGCCAGAAGTGTTGCGATGATACATCTTGTGTGTCGTCGAGAGGTCGGCGCGGCGGCGGTAGGCGAATGTGGCGCCTCCTCTTCGTTGGGTGATAGCGTGAGACAATGTTGATCACATCACACGGCAGAATGGCAATTTATATACATGCACGGGACAAACAGGGAGAGTATAGCATGTCTTGGCTCGCGCGTGAGATTTCGACCCCCTACTGATCACATCGGCTCCTTCACCTTCCCCTAACTCTCCCTTCCTCACCCTCTCCTTGACCAGTTCCATACTCTGTCTCTCCAATCACCAATTGCCTCCTTCCTCTCCACTCTGTCGGATCTATAGCCAACAAGCTTAACAGATGTGTGTGTTTGGATGTCTTAACGCATATAGTGGTCGGCGTCGTTGACATCAGACATGACGCCCATTGAAAGCGGTTGGGAGAGGTTGTAGTGCATTGCGAACATCATCGGATGGCGACAGAGAGATAAGGATGAAGGTGTCGAGCAAGTGAGGACGAGAGAAAGGCGAAAGAAGAAGGCGCAAGATCGTCCTGTGACAACCGTCAGCCACTTTCTCTCATCCAGCTCACAAGAACAAACTGACCTGGAATTCCCTTTTTTCACCAACCCCACTTTAAATCCCCTAAAATCTCCGCCACCTTTACTCCATACTCCTCCAGCACCAGTCTTCCCTCCCGGACCAGCGCGTTCAGCAGTATTATCCCTTCTGCGTGAGAACTTGATGGAGGAGGGGAAGGTGGATGTTGACCTGAAAGACCTGTTGCACTTGGTCCCCTCCCTCGCCGATTCCTCCAACCGCTACATCACCCACCCCTCCATAGCCCTCCCCCTCCATCGCCCACCCCTCCATCGCCCACCCCTCCATCGCCCACCCCTCCATCGCCCACCCCTCCATCGCCTAGCCCTCCATCGCCTAGCCCTCCATCGCCTACCCACTTACCCCTCCGTCGCCAACCGCTCCATGCTCTTGGTCGTCTTGATCCTAATACGCATGAGGAAAGAGAAGTCCCACTCGGCGCTCATCGTCCTCTTCATCCTCTTCAGCCCCAGACCTGTCTGGCTTAGTCGGTATTGGGAAGGTGAGTTGCCCGATTTCGGCTGGGTGGGTAGGGGAGCGGCAGGCGAGGGAGGTGAAGCCGTTTGAGTCAAAAAAAGACGAAAACATATATAGCAGTGTTCTACAATCAGCGTCAGCATCGTTTACCGAAGCTCAGCATCCCGACGTACAAGTACCTAATCTCTGATGCTTTCCCGCTCCCCCCTTTCGCTTCCTTCCGCATCTCCTCGTGTTTTTCCGCTCATTCCTTCCTTCCGTCCAATCCACACATACCCTCTTCCGGAGGCTCAAAGTAAGACAGCATTTCGTTTGGGAGGGTACGTCTCCCGAAGAAAAAGCGTCGTAGTCGGTATTGAATATAACGCCCTGTGGAGTGGTGGGAGAGTGGTGATTGGCGCAGTCCCGGGATTGATGGGCAGGTGGAAAGCTTTCACGTAAAAGGAAGAAGGATACAACAACGGCAGCGTCCTGCAGCAAGCATCAGCATCATCTACCCAAGCTCATATGATGCAATTAGACATACAAGAACTTAAGCCACTCCTGCCCATTCCATCACACCCAGCTTCTCCACTACCTCCATGTCAAGCTCCTTCAGAACCAATATCCCCTCCTCCAACAGCGTATCCAATGGCCGGTGCACATCATCGTCTACTACCCATTGAAGCACACGAGCGCGCTCGGGAAGGTGAATCTCGACGCGCGGTACCGATTTTGGTAATTCCTGCCCGCTCCCTGATGTCCAGCCCCGTTCAGCGAGCTCGTCATAAAGATTGCTGGCGTATTGGTAGACCGATATACCCATGGGCGAAAAGTGAATCTTTGCCTTGTCAGTATAATCAAGCGAGTCCCAGTCTCCTTGAGGTTCAACAAAGACCCGAAGACGCTCGGCCCTGTCCCATGACAAGGGTAACAGATCCCCCAGCCCAGCGGCCAAAGTCTTGGCTCTATTCAGGATTTTTCCTCGGATCATGATGACTGCGTCTCGAGGGGCTAGAGTGTGGAGGAAGTGCCTGGCCTTGTTCCAGTACTCCTCTCCTTCCTCGTCCAAATGGAAGACAACCTCCCTGAGATTGCTCGGCAACAGCCTCTCGATGCGCCGGAAAAGCATCTTTTCTCGATCTACCGGACCGCGGCCCTCCTCCGGGAAGTGCGGATTAATATAGGCATCGACTCTTTCTCGGAGGACTGGGAAGCCAAATTCGAGACGTTCAAGATTGGGGAAGATGTTGCGGTATATGTGGCGGTAGCGAGGGATAGCTTCTATCGCGTCTGATGGAACAGAGGGAGAGGGTATCGTATGGGAATGGGGCTCTACACCAGTAAGTCCATAGAGCGTATCGAGGCTCGTAAAGTCGCAGATCTTGAGCGTCCTTGTATTTTGCAAAGCCTCTAGAGTCCACTCCTCTCCTGCATCCGATTGAAGGCCCTCGAATACGGCGGGAGAAGGGGATATGTCGACATACAGCAAGGGGATGATGCGTTCGTAGGTGGAGGAGCAGAGCCGGAGGACCGAGTGAGGGGCGGAGGCGACGAGTTCTTCAAAGATTAGGTGGTGGACGGGGTGGAGGGCGGCAAATGTGGCGGGGGTGATGGAGGACATAGCCTGGGATATAGAGATGGTATAAAGTATAGAAAAAGAAATGCCGTCCAGCGATGTTTGACGGAGTTGCATCGCGACTTTGAAGGAGCGGCATCAAATCGGCCATGCCGGTCTCAAGCCGGTCTTCTCTTGTCTGGCTCTGACATGTACCATTTTTCTGTTCGTATCTGGCGAAAATCGACATGTTCTTCAGCCCCATGATATATGAAACTGTACTATATATGCTTACAACAAATCTATATCCGTCTACAGAGTACACGACATCTACTTATACTGCCTCGCAAGGTCATTCAACACCCGACTAACCACATCCGCCCCCTCCTTCACCATCCCCCTATCCCCTTCCCTCACCCTACCAAGCACCCTCACCGTAAACCGATCCGGATGAAAACTCCTCACCGCCTCCCTCACCACCCTCCGAACCTTCCCCGGCTCTCCGCCCGTATTTTCCTTGTACGACGCTACCGTCACCATATACTTTTTCACGTTCTCTAATGAAAGCGCTGAAAGTACGTCGTCTGGTGTATGGGTGGAGGGGAGGTTGGAAAGGAAGATGGGCCAGGGAATGTCGTTGAAAGAGAGGTTGGAGGACTCGATCTCGCCGCCTGCTTGGAGAGCGTCCCATCGCGCCGTCCATTTCGCCGGATCGTCCTTCTTCGCCTGGCCCGTCTTGGAGGATCTGTAAGGCGGTGTAGCGGACTCCCTCGGCGGCGGTACCGGCCTATACGCCTCCTCCGCCTCCTCCCTCTCCCTCGCCCTCCGCCTATACCTCTCCCACTCTTCCTTCTCCTGCTTCCTCCTCCACCTCTCCTCCTCCCTCTCCCTCCTCTCCCTCTCCCTCTCCCTCTTCGCCTCCTTCTCCATCCTCTCCGTCTTTATCCGGTCCGCTTCGAGCAAGGCAGAAGCGTGTTTCTGGGCATACATGCCCGTGCGGATGTATTCGGCATAGTCGTTTTCGGACATGGCGCCCATGGGGGGTGGTTGGGAGGGGAAGTGGTGCATCTTTGGCCTTGTCGGGCGGGATCCGGGCTCGAATGGTGAAGGCGGGGGCGGGAAGAGCGACGGTGATAAGAAGGGGCGTGATGGCGCAGACCGCCATCTCGAAGGTAACGATTCTGCCGCCCGTCCAGCATGCCCCCACCTCGGCACTTCCAAATCCTCCCAATCCTCCAACCCCCCTCCCCCTCCTTCCTCACCAGCCATCCACCTCATCTTCCCCTCCCACTCCGCCTTCTCCCTCTTCCACCTCTCCTCCTTCACCTTCCTCCCCATTGCTCCAAGCCACTCGCCTTCTTGTCCTTCTTCTTCTTCATAATGCTTTGCTTGGGGGCGGGGTTTGTTCCGAGGCGGGGATATGGAGTCGGCTCTGTAGTGGGAGGAGGAAGAGGGGGGTGGGGAGACGGCGTAGCCGTTGGCGCGGGAGATGCGGTGTTGGTCTTTCTCGAAACGACGTTTTTCGCGGGCAAAGATCTTTTCGGCGCGCTCGCTTTTTGTTGTTTTTCTGTGCGTACCTGTCAGTGTTCGTACAACATAAGGAAGGAGGAGGAGGGTGGTTACAATCTGATTTTGGAAGGGCGAACGTCATAGTCTTCAGACCGGTCCGGGGAGCGGGGCATCCTGCCATCGAGAGGGGGACGAGAGGAGGTATAGTTTGCCTGAGGACGACGGGGGGGATCTCTTGCGAGATGGGTGATACAGTCTTGTTATGTACAGAGAAGAAGCAGAAGCAAGTATGGATGGCGGCGAGATACGTAGAGGAAAGAAAGAAGATACGCGCGTGGTGACGTGGAATATTCATGTGCTCTTTCATTCAACGATTAACACGCTGCGTGTATGTTTCGTCGTCCTTCTGATCAACTGCAACACACGTGCCCGAGCGGATGCAGACATAAAAGCATGCGGACTATGGGATCGTAAAAATCGTTATGATACATGACACGGTCATAATATATCCCACATCTAGCTCTCAGTCTAGAGATTATCCCGTCCTCCGTAAAGAAAAAAGTCCAGCTCCTCCCATACACCACTCTACAACAACCCAATAGTAACATCACCCTTCACCCTCGCCGTCAAATGCACCTCCACAAGCAAGTCCAACGAAATATTGATGCTCAGAGAGTGTTCATCGCCCTTGCTCCCGCCGCCTGGCTGCTCCTCGGGGGTGAGCTCGGCCATCTCGTTGGGAAGGGGCGTTCGGTGGGAGCGGAGGGGGCCGAGGGCGGCGTCGCGCTGGGTGGGGGCTTTGGAGGTTTTGGGGTCGCGCTTGGGAGAGGGAGGGGGGCCCATGGCAGATCTATAAAAAGTCAGTGGAAGTACGGCGAAAGAAGGGTGAAAAGCGTACCGCTGAAGCTCGCCGCCGCCCTGTTCTTGTTGAGTCTGTTGTTGAGTTTGCTGTTCCTGCTCAGACATTGTAGAAGTGTTTGGATGGACGAAGAGAGATGGGATGGTCGGTGGTTATATACCTGGAGGTGACACCGCTTCGTGTTTGTGGTGATGCGCAACGTCATCAGGACTCGATAAGCTAGATGTGATGGCCCTTGGTGAATATCCCTGTGGATGCGCATTACATCATGATTACTCCCTTCTTGGCTCCACAAAATGCATCTCGTTTCTAGACAGCGCGGGGTTGTTGCGGGGCGTAGCTGGGGGTACAGGAATTAGAACAGGACACCGGAGAAAGGAAATGCGAGCAGGGAACAGAGGGTGCATGACGTAAATGATCCGTTCCTGAGCAAGAGATAACGATCGAGGGGTGGAGGTTACTGGGACAATCTGATCCCGCTAATCCAGCCATTTGAAGTCTGGATCTCCGAGCGCTGCCCTCCGTGTCCTTGTCAACAGAGCAGCGGCAGAGTGGGGAATAAAAGGAGGGCGAATGTCTTCTCCCTCTATGTACAACATCAAAAGTTTACAACCGCTCTGCATCCACCTTCAAAAATGAAATCGCCTCGTGTCCCTCTCGAATCGGTTCGAAGTTGTCATCGACGGCAAGTCAAGGATTGCCAAGCTAACGGGTGATGTCTATAATGGCTGGTCCGACTTGTCAGATTTATATGCTTGGGCGTCTGGAGAGCACCGAGACCATCACATGGTGAGCAGCTTTACACATATGTTTCTCTTCTGTGTCGTTGTCGTTTGCTCATAACTCGTACAACTTGAGGATAAGAGTAACGGTATGATACACATCGCCAAGAAGTTCCATACCTTGCCCCACTCGCAACACCTGATGGCCCAGCTCCACGACCTACGCTCTGCCGATTTACCTCTCCTTCGCCCGTCGGTGTGCTCCCTGGTCCACCTCCGAGTACGACGAACTCTTCAACGGCGTGGTAACGCCCCCATATTGAATACTGTTGTACAGTCTTCAGCACCTATCACCTGGTAAGATCTATGCATTACATACCTGTTGTAGTCTTCAGCACCTATCACCTGGTAAGATGAAAGAGCATGAGAAAGCACAACAGGCTCCACAACACACCCCGCTG